GTTACTGTCTCTTGCCACCGGTAATTTATTCTCCACATCATTTTGCCGCTAATAGGGCGGGTTAATGTGGCGATGGTGACAGTTGTTGCTGCGTCTTGCCATCGGTAATTTATTCTCTTCATGGGTGTTGGGTCTCACCAAAGCAGGCACTCACTTGCTTCAGATCTACCTGCATCTTGGAAAACGCTGAGATAGATCCAAGTCAACCGTTTACGAGGCAAGGGGTGTTTTGTTTGTCAATTTGGCTGTGTATTATGTCAAGGCAGGATGCGGGTACACCAATAGTTGCAAGCAGTCGTCCGGCAAACGTATGCGTACCAGAGGACCTGTAAGGATTTATGGAAGGCTTTGGAAAAGGCCCGTGAACCGTATTGCTGTTTTGTCAATTTGGCTTGGTATCTTGCCCGAGTGGTCTAAGGGGGCGGACTTAAGATCCGCTAGACGTTCCAGTCTGCGTGGGTTCAAACCCCACAGATACCAAAGCACCACTCTCTCTTCTTCTTGAAAAGCGGTGGACGAAGTCTCGTAGTGCAGACACTTTTCTGTCGCTTATGGGATGATGGAGACGATGTTACTGTCTCTTGCCACCGGTAATTTATTCTCCACATCATTTTGCCGCTAATAGGGCGGGTTAATGTGGCGATGGTGACAGTTGTTGCTGCGTCTTGCCATCGGTAATTTATTCTCTTCATGGGTGTTGGGTCTCACCAAAGCAGGCACTCACTTGCTTCAGATCTACCTGCATCTTGGAAAACGCTGAGATAGATCCAAGTCAACCGTTTACGAGGCAAGGGGTGTTTTGTTTGTCAATTTGGCTGTGTATAATGTCAAGGCAGGATGCGGGTACACCAATAGTTGCAAGCAGTCGTCCGGCAAACGTATGCGTACCAGAGGACCTGTAAGGATTTATGGAAGGCTTTGGAAAAGGCCCGTGAAACGTATAGCTGTTTTGTCAATTTGGCTTGGTATCTTGCCCGAGTGGTCTAAGGGGGCGGACTTAAGATCCGCTAGACGTTCCAGTCTGCGTGGGTTCAAACCCCACAGATACCAAAGCACCACTCTCTCTTCTTCTTGAAAAGCGGTGGACGAAGCCTCGTAGTGCAGACACTTTTCTGTCGCTTATGGGATGATGGAGACGATGTTACTGTCTCTTGCCACCGGTAATTTATTCTCCACATCATTTTGCCGCTAATAGGGCGGGTTAATGTGGCGATGGTGACAGTTGTTGCTGCGTCTTGCCATCGGTAATTTATTCTCTTCATGGGTGTTGGGTCTCACCAAAGCAGGCACTCACTTGCTTCAGATCTACCTGCATCTTGGAAAACGCTGAGATAGATCCAAGTCAACCGTTTACGAGGCAAGGGGTGTTTTGTTTGTCAATTTGGCTGTGTATAATGTCAAGGCAGGATGCGGGTACACCAATAGTTGCAAGCAGTCGTCCGGCAAACGTATGCGTACCAGAGGACCTGTAAGGATTTATGGAAGGCTTTGGAAAAGACCCGTGAAACGTATAGCTGTTTTGTCAATTTGGCTTGGTATCTTGCCCGAGTGGTCTAAGGGGGCGGACTTAAGATCCGCTAGACGTTCCAGTCTGCGTGGGTTCAAACCCCACAGATACCAAAGCACCACTCTCTCTTCTTCTTGAAAAGCGGTGGACGAAGTCTCGTAGTGCAGACACTTTTCTGTCGCTTATGGGATGATGGAGACGATGTTACTGTCTCTTGCCACCGGTAATTTATTCTCCACATCATTTTGCCGCTAATAGGGCGGGTTAATGTGGCGATGGTGACAGTTGTTGCTGCGTCTTGCCATCGGTAATTTATTCTCTTCATGGGTGCTGGATCTCACCAAAGCAGGCATTCACTTGCTGAAGACCTACCTGCATCTTGGAAAACGCTGAGATAGATCCAAGTCAACCGTTTACGAGGCAAGGGGTGTTTTGTTTGTCAATTTGGCTGTGTATTATGTCCGAGGCAGGATGCGGGTACACCAACAGTTGCAAGCAGTCGTCCGGCAAACGTATGCGTACCAGAGGACCTGTAAGGATCTATGGAAGGCTTTGGAAAAGACCCGTGAACCGTATTGCTGTTTTGTCAATTTGGCTTGGTATCTTGCCCGAGTGGTCTAAGGGGGCGGACTTAAGATCCGCTAGACGTTCCAGTCTGCGTGGGTTCAAACCCCACAGATACCAAAGCACCACTCTCTCTTCTTCTTGAAAAGCGGTGGACGAAGTCTCGTAGTGCAGACACTTTTCTGTCGCTTATGGGATGATGGAGACGATGTTACTGTCTCTTGCCACCGGTAATTTATTCTCCACATCATTTTGCCGCTAATAAGGCGGGTTAATGTGGCGATGGTGACAGTTGTTGCTGCGTCTTGCCATCGGTAATTTATTCTCTTCATGGGTGCTGGGTCTCACCAAAGCAGGCACTCACTTGCTTCAGACCTACCTGCATCTTGGAAAACGCTGAGATAGATCCAAGTCAACCGTTTACGAGGCAAGGGGTGTTTTGTTTGTCAATTTGGCTGTGTATTATGTCAAGGCAGGATGCGGGTACACCAATAGTTGCAAGCAGTCGTCCGGCAAACGTATGCGTACCAGAGGACCTGTAAGGATTTATGGAAGGCTTTGGAAAAGACCCGTGAAACGTATAGCTGTTTTGTCAATTTGGCTTGGTATCTTGCCCGAGTGGTCTAAGGGGGCGGACTTAAGATCCGCTAGACGTTCCAGTCTGCGTGGGTTCAAACCCCACAGATACCAAAGCACCACTCTCTCTTCTTCTTGAAAAGCGGTGGACGAAGTCTCGTAGTGCAGACACTTTTCTGTCGCTTATGGGATGATGGAGACGATGTTACTGTCTCTTGCCACCGGTAATTTATTCTCCACATCATTTTGCCGCTAATAGGGCGGGTTAATGTGGCGATGGTGACAGTTGTTGCTGCGTCTTGCCATCGGTAATTTATTCTCTTCATGGGTGCTGGATCTCACCAAAGCAGGCATTCACTTGCTGAAGACCTACCTGCATCTTGGAAAACGCTGAGATAGATCCAAGTCAACCGTTTACGAGGCAAGGGGTGTTTTGTTTGTCAATTTGGCTGTGTATTATGTCAAGGCAGGATGCGGGTACACCAATAGTTGCAAGCAGTCGTCCGACAAGCGTATGCGTACCAGAGGACCTGTAAGGATCTATGGAAGGCTTTGGAAAAGGCCCGTGAAACGTATAGCTGTTTTGTCAATTTGGCTTGGTATCTTGCCCGAGTGGTCTAAGGGGGCGGACTTAAGATCCGCTAGACGTTCCAGTCTGCGTGGGTTCAAACCCCACAGATACCAAAGCACCACTCTCTCTTCTTCTTGAAAAGCGGTGGACGAAGTCTCGTAGTGCAGACACTTTTCTGTCGCTTATGGGATGATGGAGACGATGTTACTGTCTCTTGCCACCGGTAATTTATTCTCCACATCATTTTGCCGCTAATAGGGCGGGTTAATGTGGCGATGGTGACAGTTGTTGCTGCGTCTTGCCATCGGTAATTTATTCTCTTCATGGGTGCTGGATCTCACCAAAGCAGGCATTCACTTGCTGAAGACCTACCTGCATCTTGGAAAACGCTGAGATAGATCCAAGTCAACCGTTTACGAGGCAAGGGGTGTTTTGTTTGTCAATTTGGCTGTGTATTATGTCCAAGGCAGGATGCGGGTACACCAGCAGTTGCAAGCAGTCGTCCGACAAGCGTATGCGTACCAGAGGACCTGTAAGGAGCTATGGAAGGCTTTGGAAAAGGCCCGTGAACCGTATTGCTGTTTTGTCAATTTGGCTTGGTATCTTGCCCGAGTGGTCTAAGGGGGCGGACTTAAGATCCGCTAGACGTTCCAGTCTGCGTGGGTTCAAACCCCACAGATACCAAAGCACCACTCTCTCTTCTTCTTGAAAAGCAGGACTTAGACTATACTGTAATCAGTATAGTCGGAGGGTGCCCCATTACATTTAGACCAAACATTAAGTATATTACTTAATGTTTACGTGTAACTAGGTACCCTGTTACACGTCCCTTAGTCTGATTCGCAAGCAAATGGAAGCTAAGTAGTAGCCCTCGATATTCCGCTTCGTTTACAGTCAGATCAGCGGCGAACTCCGATGCAGCAGCTATGACAGTCCATTTCATCTTCCATGCAATAAGAGTCTGGAGTGGAAATGTAGCAGCGACCGTAAATGCATCGCTGATCAGTCTCTTTGTGTATGTATGTACACAAATTCTTGAGCCTTATTTATTGTACAAGATTTGTTCTAATTTTGCTACTTTGTTCTTCTCACAAACCAACCAACCTATTCAATATGTGACAAAGACTGTAACGCGGGACTCTTGACGCTTCGCTATGACCTCCGCTGTACAAAGCGAGGGTCAAGAGCAAGCTAACGGCCAAAGTCGTGGCTTCGTCGTTTTAGCTCCTAGGGCAGTCACACGATGAGACCTTTGGCAGAGAAGCACATTGTGTAATCAATTGGTGACCGACTTGAAGAGCTTTTAAACCTAGGACAGTACAAACACATATAGTAGTAGTAACTCATACGATACAGTAGTACCGTACTGAACTCATGGCTCTCTGCCGTACTATAAAAGGCCAGACGTTGTAGTTCATAGCTCAGGGTTGACGCTGTAGAGCTGAGAATCTGATATCGAGTTGAAGGCAGGGGTTCGAAACTGCAGGTGATTTTTTCTACGAAACAGGCCTATGGTGTTGCAGCTTCTAAAGCCCCTTCTAGTAATTAGATAATGACTGACTAAATGATCTATGAGCCATTCATTTTATGAGCATCAACAGTACCACCAGCAAATGAATTTGGTCATACGCAAGCAAGGGTCAATTCATTTAGCATCGATCGATCAAACTTCCATCAATCTCTCGTGTCATATGTGCAATCATTTCTTAATAGTTCATTGTCCATTTGTCATAGAGGTTGAAAAGGAATCTCCATCTTTACTAGTATAAGTCCCTATCCAGGATGAGCTCAATCCCTGTTAACAACGTAGAAGCTGTCCAGCGTATTACACGACGCATTGATGCCATTGGCGAGCGTGATCCAGGCATCGTCATGGGGTTATCATGGTATTATATCAAGCTCATCCTACTTACGGGCTTTGGATGGGCCATGGACTCAATGGAAACTTTCATCTTTACGTATTGTGCTGCTCTTATCCGTGAGGACATTCCACAAAGCTCACGTCAAGCTTCTTTTCTAGGTGGTGCTGTCTTTATTGGGTCGTTCATTGGATCTTTTCCCTTTGGGACATTGGCCGACAAATACGGTCGTCGTCCTATCTTTATGGTCACACTTGTGCTCTTCCTTGGTGGTCTTGCCTTTTGTGCATTGAGTTGGGATGTCACCTCTATCACATGTGCACGCATTATCTCGGGCATTGGTCTTGGTGGAGAGCTACCCGTTGCTTCGACACTCGTACAAGAGCTCTCTCCAAAGAAAACACGTGGTAAGATTATTGTCTTGCTCGAGTCTTTCTGGGCCATTGGTTGCATGGTCGCAGTTGTTATGGCATTTAGTGTCGCACCCAAGATTGGTTGGCGTGAAACTTTCTTCATCTGTTGTGCCCCCGTGCTATATGCGATTGTTATCCGTCTATATATCCCCGAGTCCCCCAAGTGGCTTGCCAGTGTCGGTCGCTATGACGAGGCCGTTGCTATTGTCGAGTCCATTGAGCAGGCCCATGGTCTCGATCCCTACGACCCCAAGACGGAGGAGATTGAGCGAAACATTGCAGTACAATCAGCTGTTGAGCTCCCAGATTCTCATTTCAAACGCATTGGCATGTTGTTTGAGCACCAATTCCGTGTACGCACGACTGTCCTTTGGACGCTTTGGTTCGGTCTGTCCATGTCGTACTACGCCATTTTTATTTACTTGCCCACTTTGATCTCTCTCAAGGGCTATGACATGAACAGTCAATGGGAGACAATCCTCATCATTACAGTCTTTCAACTTCCAGGCTACTTTGCTGCTGCGAGTCTTGTCGAGATTATTGGCCGAAAGCAAACGCTTGTCATCTTTCTACTTGGTGCCTTTGTATCTGCTATTGTCATGGGCTATGTCGATGCGACCAAGACGCCTGTGATTGTAACTGGATCGTTCACGTCCTTCTTTATGCTTGGTGCATGGGGTTGCGTGTACGCATACACACCAGAGAACTATCCGACAGCTATCCGTGGCATTGGTGCAGCATATCCCTCTGGTTTCAGCCGCATTGGCTCTTTCATCGGTCCGTACTTATGTGCGTCCATGTTTGGTGACTGGAACATGTCTTTAGAGGGCATTATGTGGGTATTTGGTGGACTACTAGTGGTGATTTCGGCCCTTGTGTTGATCTTTGGCTATGAGCCTCGTGGGAAGAACGTTGAATTGTACGATGACAATCACGCCAACAAGTCGATGGTCTTTGAGGCCGTGCAAACGCCCACGTGACTTTTGTCCGATTGAAAAAGCGAGTAGCTGCATTGTTATTGTATCATTTGACGTTGAGAGATCTCGTGCTCGCTTGAGCGGCAATACATATAAAGTTATTCCAATCACTCTCTTACATACGTAGTCTCCTTGGAAATTATAAGAATAATGAGCAAGGACACAATTCCTTGCTCTTTGGCGTTCAATCATAATCTTTTTACTACGATATTTGTATCTATAGAGAAAAGGTCAGCACTTGGGCTAGTATCTAATGTATCGTTACTACGAAGATACTGGTAGGCACAGTACAATGTTTTTCAATCAGACGAGAGGGAAGAGTGTGGAATGTCACTCTATAAGAGTGCGACTGTAGTATTGGAAAAAAAAGTCATCACTATCGTAAACGTTCAACTAAATGTCCTCTCTCAAGGCTGGCAAAAGTGTCATACATTATACGTGATGTTTGTAATACCTTTTAAATTGGCACTTCATGTTCAAGTGTATTTTTCAATCACGATGGTGATATGCTTACGCGTTTTTGAAAATCAGTATGGAATGGACGTGCAATCTAGTTTAAACTATACGTTTTATAGTCGAAAGCAATCACATGGTTAAAAGACCATAAGACACTTGATGTCCTCCCTATACATACAATAACATAACATAACAGACTGATGATGATGTTCTTCAATGGTTAAAAATACCGACCCATCTGTCTATTTCCTACAAAGTTTACGATTGAGCGCTTGAGGTGCGTGCGACATGGGAGACGTTTCGGGTATCAAAAAAACCTCGGAGGTTTTTTCCTTCTCTTCCTTCTCCGTCCCCAAAAGACGCCACTTTTACTAACGAGGCAGAGAGCAAAGACAAGAATTCAAAAGGAGATTTTAATCCGTAACGAACTAAAAGACGTCTTTCGTGTCCCCCGTCATTTGAATGGACGCCACTATTTCCGAACCTCAGGACGACGCGTACCACGAATTACGAACATCACGTGGACGTGCATTTTCATCCAGTCCTCTTGCTCCTTCTTCACTTGATCATTGTATGGGACTGTATGAAAATGGTGATTCCAACACAATTGGTCAAAAGACGACATCTGAAGAATCCATGGAGTATCGAATTGTAGCGTTACCAGCACTTGAACGACAAGATCGACATGAAAAGAAAGATGATGATTGTTCACTTGATTTTTGTTCAAATGTCGTGATTACGTCAAAATATACGACGTGGAATTTCCTGCCGCTGTTTATGCTCGAAAGTTTTCGCAAATTAGCGAATGCGTATTTTCTACTTGTGTCGATTTTACAATGTATTCGACATATTAGTAATACGAATGGTGTTCCGACGAATTTACCCGTTTTGATGTTTATTTTAACGGTGGATGGCGTACTTGCTGTGATTGAAGATCGAAGACGTCACGTTGCAGATAAAGAAGCGAATTCTGCTCAATGTCAAGTACTTAAAGACACATTTACAGGTTCAAGAGATGCACTTGATCGTGCGGGCGATGTGGAGGATGCAGACATTGCTCTAATGCATTGGGCTTCTCTTACTGTCGGGTCAGTGGTGAAACTCCGGAATCGAGAAACAGCTCCGGCTGATTTATTGATTTTAGCTGTTGCTGAGCCGAATCCAAATGAACCGGCGGGGATTTGCTACGTGGAAACAAAGAGTCTCGATGGTGAGACGAATCTAAAGCTGCGTCACGCCTGTGATGCCACAATGCACGTACAAACGGCAGCACAAGTCGCTGCTTTGTCTGGACAGCTACGATGTGAGAACCCCAACAAGGTCATTGGTCGCTTTGACGGCACGTTGTCTGTCACGGATGAAACAAAGACAGCGGAGACTCATCCGCAGCCGATTGCTATCAAGAACGTGCTACTTCGTGGTTGCCAACTGCGTAACACGGACTGGATTTACGGCCTTGTGGTGAACACGGGACCGGACACAAAGATCATGCAGAGTGCAACAGCCACGCGGCCAAAGTGGAGCTCCATTAATGAGACGGTGAATAAGATGATTATTTGGCTGTTTCTGCTGCTGTGTTTCTTTTGCATTGTCGCCACGACTGTGCAAATAATTTGGCTTTATGATAACATTGAGGAGAGCTGGTATCTGAACTGGTCACCTACCATGACGAGTCAGTGGTTTGCTGGATTTGGCTATTACTTCTTGCTGATGTACCAGATGATTCCTGTGTCGCTATACGTGACCATCTCGATGGTCATGTTTATCCAGGCTATTTTCATGACGTGGGATCTAGATATGTACTACGAAGAGGCGGACGTGCGCATGATTGTGCGCTCCATGGGATTGAACGAGGAATTGGGTCAGATCTCTTATGTATTTAGTGACAAGACCGGCACACTGACATGCAACATTATGGAGTTCCGCAAATGCTCAATTAATGGCGTGTCGTACGGGACAGGTATGACGGAAATTGGCCGTGCTGCGCTACGTCGAAAAGGGGTTGCTGTACCAGCGGATATGGAACCATGCCCAGCTACGGGCGATGCAAAGATCCCATACGTCAACTTTGAGGATGTGCGTTTGTTAAACGCGCTTGAGCGACCTAATGCTGACGACACACCAAATCGTGAAGCTGAGTTTTTCTTGCACTTGAGTTTATGCCAAACTGTCATTCCTGAGGCTGTGGAGGGTAGCTCTGAAGTGCGTTTTTCGGCCTCGTCACCTGATGAACAGGCGCTGGTGTCAGGTGCAAAGTTTTTCGGCTTTACTTTTGAATCCCGGGGTCTGGGCGTTGCTCGTGTGAGGGTAAAGCGTCCCGAGCTTATTCGTCGCTACGCGAAAGATGCTACCGGCCCGAATGCTTTGCTAGAATTCAAAATCTTGGACGTGTTGGAATTTACTAGTGACCGTAAGCGAATGTCGGTTGTGGCGCAATATCCCAATGGAGAGTACTGGGTGCTCACGAAGGGTGCTGATAACGTAATTTATCCTTTGCTGGCTAAGAGTAAGAGTAACCCTGAACTTCTGAAGGAGACGATGCGTCATTTAGAGACGTTTGGCGATGATGGTCTGCGTACGCTTACAATTGCGCAGCGACGTGTGGACGAAAAAGAGTACTTGGACTGGAGCGCACGCTTTAAGCAGGCAAACTCTTCCTTGGAAGAAATTGACAAGCGCAAGAATGGCCAGCCCAACGAAATCGATAAGCTTATGACGGAGATTGAGCACGACCTGGAACTGCTGGGCGCTACGGCAATCGAGGACAAGCTGCAAAATAATGTACCCAGTTGTATCGCGAACCTCATGCGTGCAGGCATGCGAATCTGGATGCTTACGGGCGACAAGCAGGAGACCGCCATTAACATTTCGTATGCGTGTCAGCTCATGGATAATGACATGCAGCAATTTGTCTTCAATTGCGATATGTACCCGACGAAGGAGGCCATCTTAACTCAATTATTAGACGCAAACGCACAGGTCCAACGAGGCAGCAATCGTCATGCCCTGACAATCGACGGTGAGTGCTTGGAATTGACATTGGCAGACGACCGGTGTCAAAAAGAGTTCCTGTCGCTGGCCGTGGCTTGTGAGGCTGTGGTGTGTTGCCGTGTGTCACCTAGCCAGAAGGCTGAGGTGGTGACTCTCGTACGCACTACTAATAAGAAGATGCGAACGCTAGCGATTGGTGACGGTGCCAATGATGTGGCCATGATTCAGCGTGCACATGTTGGCGTTGGTATCTCAGGTCAAGAGGGTATGCAAGCTGTGAATTCAAGTGACTATGCAATTGGCCAGTTTTATTTCCTGGAAAAGTTGTTGCTGCACCATGGCCGCTTGAATTACAAGCGCATGGCCATTCTAAGCGGGTATATGTTCTACAAGAATATTGTGATGGTGCTGGCGCAGTACTTTTACATGTTTTGCACGGGCTCCTCTGCTCAGAAGTTCTATGGTGAGTTGGCATTCCAGCTGTACAACATTTGCTACACTTCGCTGCCTATTATTGTGCTTGGTGTTTTTGACTACGACGTGCCTTTTGAAGTGAGCAAACGCTTTCCCGAGTTGTACCTGGTTGGTCCGCGCATGGAGCTTTTCAACAACTACACCTTTTTCAAGTGGATTTGCAGTGCTGTCTACGAGTCAACCGTCATCTTTGTGTTTGTTATTTACGCTTATAACGAGAACCTTTCTAATGCGGGCAGTGCGTCGATGGTGCAGTATGGATTGCTCGCGTTCACGATGGTGGTTTTGGTGGCCAACATCAAGCTGTCTATGATACAAATGTCGTGGAGCACTTATGGTTGTGCTTTGTGGTTTGTTGGCGTTATCTCGTTCCTTCCGCTGACCCCTATTATTTCAAGCTACTGGATTTCCCTGTTCTCAACGGAATACGGTAGCTTTCAAAACACGCTGACGCATGAGACATATTGGTTGGTGATTCCAGTCTGTCTGGTTGTTTCGCTGCTCCGTCATTTTAGTTGGACCGCTATCTGCCGCCGATTTTATCCGCTTCCGTGGCAGATTGTCCAGGAACAGTACGTCTTGCAAAAGGGCAGGCACCCTACGCAGAGTCGCTTAATGTCTCGTATCGACATTGAAGCTGCTGGCATCCCTATGGTGAACGGTTTGTCGCAGGACAATGGAGGCGCTTACATCAATTCGTCGTCTCCTAGGCGTGGTTACAACGCGGTAAGTGTTATCTTTTTGCAATGCGTTGCTGCATTGAGCTTCGTCGTCTAATCTTGCGTTTTTCTTTCTCTGATGCAGGAATTACAGGACCAGGCTCAGCTCAGTGGTAAAACGCGTGGATCTGGCAGTGGCTTCGCATTCAGCTACGATCCGCAGACGTCTTTGGCTGAGTCGTACATGTCAACACACGATGTGCGTCAGTCAGCCTCAGCGATGAGTGACGCAGAACAACGTGGCAGGAGATCTCGAGAAGATTCGCGATCATCCGATTACGACTCCTCGCGCTCAACTGGTGTCGTGGATTCGACAAAGGGATCGTCCTCTACAGGACTGTTTGTCTAGCACGACGTCGACGAAAAAGGGATCATCTTGAGCTAGAAGAAGCTAGCTCACGTTGCATGTGAAGCTGCGACCTTGTGAACGGTCGATTAGAAGAGCACCGGGCATGTATAAGCAGCGAGAAATAGCAGGTCGTCGAACGATGGATATCAATTGGTCTTGATTTCTCTGAAGCGTCAATTCTACAATTAACGGAGCTATCACATCATTGACAAAGACGACACCGAGTGCTTTGACGGCACTGGAAGTGAAGACTTGAAGACTGCAGACACTTGCGTCAGCCACGTGTCCGTCGGAGACATTCAAGTCGAGCCATATATTCTACTCTTCAACATGCGCTGACAACGACATAAAGTGTTAATAGCAATACCTATTAGCTACTTACCATTGAATCGGGTACCACTGCCGACTTTCATTGATACCGAGTATTGGTAGCTGCTAGCTAACTCCATACACTCAATATGTCGTTGCGCGACTCACTGTCACAACGAGTTCTAGCAAAGGTATCTTGCTGTGACGTGGCTGCAGTTCAAGACTACTTCGTCTGCTCCTCGGACAATTCCTTGGCCAGCGCCACATAGTTCACCTCCTTCCTGACGCGTTTGCTTCTCGAATGTGAAAGGGGCATCTTATCCGCTTCTTCGCTGCGCTTCTTTGTCTGCAGCACCGTCATACCAGAGTCCGAAGCTGCCGGAGCCAAGTAACTCGCCAGCAACGTCTGTTCGTGCACGGCCTCCTTGGCGATTTCTACCTCGTCCCAGCGCTCCCGCGCCGGGTTGATGAGCGCCCGAGTGTGGGCCGCGACGCTGCGTGCGAAAGGCGAAACCATCCGACCGTGAAAGTTGTAACCTCCCTCCAGCACTGATATCAATCTGCCATCGCAGCAAGTATTGGCCACCTGCTTGATGTGCCCGACAAGCCATTCATAGTCTTGCTCCAACAGCGACACGTATCCCCAATTCACGAGCTCCTTCTTATGCGCGTCAAAACCCGCCGATAGGAATATAAGGTCTGGATTAAAGTTCCGCAATCTCGGCAAGATGCGGTCACGAAATGCGCTTCGCCATTTTAGGCGTGAAGCGGATGCGCCTTCACGGCAAAGAACCATACCTTCGTTCCAAATGACTGGAGCTTCTTTCACATTCGAGACACCAGAACCAGGATAAAACCAGGCCTGGGTTTCACCCTGGGCCAGCTCCTCCTTGTCCTCAGGGTCCTTGTGTCCGTATCCGTGCACCGAACAAAAGAACACATTCTCTGAGTCATCGTCACTGCGCCAGGGCTTGTACTGATGCACAACCTGTTTGCCAACACCGTAGGGCGTCTCAAAGGTTATCTCTTTCGTAGACGGCACAAGCTGTCGCACAATCTCTTCAGTACCGTTGCCATGATGCACGTCGAAGTCCAGGATCGCGACCCTGTTAATACCGCGATGCTTAAAATGTGCGCGTGCATATGCTGCACCAACAGCCACATTGTTGAAGAGACAAAATCCAAGACTTCCCTCTGGGTCGTTCTCGCACACCACCTTACCCACCGGTCCGGCATGGTGCCCAGGTGGCCGTACAATGCAAAATGCATTCCTGCACTTGCCTGCTACGACCTCGTCCACCGCCTTGCACACTGCGCCAGCAGCACGGGTGGCCGCATCAAAGGAACGAACTGACAATGCAGTATCGGAATCTAAAGATAACGTAGAATGACACTCCTCAGTGTCATCAGCTCTGCTAGCTGGTGTCGATTCGAACGGGCCCGGGAACTGGTCGTGACTTGTGCCATCCCTGTTATTGTCCTTTAGACCAACAGGTTTCTTGCCTACAACTGGCGCAGCAAAAGCGGAACATTTCTGACGCACACGATTAACGTAGTGAAATTCATGTACTCGCAAGATGTCGGCAATATCGGCGCGTTCGATGTCATGGTCCCACTTGACATTTGGTTGTTGAAACTCGCGAGATCGAAGAATGCCAAACACTGGGTCTACTAACGTATCAATTCGTTCAGGATTTTCAGGTGGCGGGTCTGGTCCACCGCGACGGTGATATGCCATGGGCAAATGCTTCCACACTTCGGGATGGAAAAAAAATCGTGTCTGATCTCTCTGCGCAATTTTTTCTTCCTTGTGATTTGCTATCTCCTTCACACAATCGCCTGCTTCAGCTGCCAACAAATGCATCTCAAGTGTATCAAACCTACATCTATGAGCTACTTGAGCTGCAGTGCATCCATAAATGTCCTTTAACGTGAAATCGGCAGCAACATGTCGAGAAGAAGTGCGTAGAATCTTTACACCTTCAATAAAACCTGCAAGTGCAGCAATGTGCGCCGGTGTTTGGTACAGCGATGTCTTAGAATTTACCTCCACGTTGTATACATCCACGAGTCTCTTGGCTACATTAGCTGCTCGATATTTCATGGCTTCATGAAGTGGTCGAAGCCCCACTTTGTTGCCTTTTTCAAGTAGCGTCTCCAATGTCATAAACTTTGTCTTCATCTTCTCCTTCTTTTTCTTCTCTTCTTCTTCTTCTTCTTCTTTTTCTTCAATTCCTTCACTTTCTTCCATTTCCATAGCAACTACATGACGTTTATAGAACGTAATCAGCACGTCTAGACACGTGAAAAGGTCGTACCGGGCACATAGATGAAAGACCGTATTTCCTTCTTCATCTCTCGCCATTATCTTGTCAAATAATAAAAGACGTACATCGTTTCCATAGAAATCGTCCTCTTGTGTCGTTTTGGTGAATAATTCACTGACTAAATCGTTACTAAATGACGCATTAATAGCTCCAATTCGTAGTAAAAGATGCAGAAATGGAGTATGAAAATCTCCACCTTTTAGTCGTAGCATTGCACTTGTAAGTACGGATGAATAACGTAACAAATGTATGGCACATTCTACTTGTTGATGGATTAGAGCCACATGTATTGGTAGAAATCCCATATCATCTTTTTCCAATAGATTCGTCTCATTGGCTACAAAACGCAGACGAGATTCCGTTTGATTGGATAAAAGTGGAAGCAGGATACGTAGCCGATCAATTCGACCGTCTTGCACAAGATTATGCAATAAGTACATGTCTTCTTCGTCGTCATCATTATAGTCATCATCCTCGTCTGGGAAAGCCTTTGATACGGCATCTGGCGACGTACACGCCGCCTCGGCTTGATAAGATTCCGCCATGTTTGGCGATAAAAGGAGACTTTCCACCAATGAAATTGCGTGATAAAACAGCTGATTTGGTTTGGTTTGAGTTTATATTACGACGTTTATATCTAAAGGAAGAGTAATCTGTCTTTAATTGATTGCTCCACAATGACGTGACCACTTTGCTAAAAATCCATCGTTCGACTTCAACTCTATGACACATATTCAATATGATAGGATTTCAGCCAACCAGCAGCCATCACACACCTCCGTATACTTATTTTCAGATAATATTACTGGTCAGAATCAAGTTCGTTTTTTTTGCGCTCGCTGCCGCCAGGGAAAAAGCTGCAGTTGCTATGCGCGCGGTAGAAACGGCAATGACGTTTTATTCCAAATATTAGTGTGGCTACCGCATGTGAAGACGCCTTAGCACTGTAAAGAACGACACTTTGGTCACTGTGACAGTCCTAGCTGTCAATGATGAGTAGTGGTCAGATTGATTACCTTTGATGGAGCTATCGACGATGATATTTTGGGGCCGATTGCAAGCACCTACACTTACTTACAAGCATAGGGTCGGAAGATACCCATCTTATTTTGACTTAGTCGGACTATTGCCGTGCTGACTACCTAACCTCCACATAATGATGGTTTGCATTTGCTTTGAGTATAGTAGGAGTTAGTCTGGGAAAGGGCAGCGCGAGTGAAGGTCAATTGGCTGACTGGTCACCCAATCCAATAGGCACAATATCAGTTGTACACATGTCGCATTCAGCATAGAATAGGACACTTGTTAAAATAGTATTCTTTAGGCTATGAATGTACTACCAAGAACCTTATTACTACTATCCTAGAAAAAAACTGTTGCAGCCAGGACACAAAGGATTGATGAAGAGCTACAACTGCAGAGGTTTATATATCAAGGTCTTTCAGCCGCCAGCGTTTCTTGCGTGACGCATAAAACAATGAGACTCACTATGTCGCGTACGAAGATCAGTAAGTACAATCGTGACAGCTTCATTATAACCTTTTATGATGGTATTCGACGCTGCCAAAGTTTTTGCAAGTGTAATAACAGGTATACGTCACAAATAGTATATACTACTTTTAAGAAGTAGTTTTTTCATACATCAACGCTTGTCAGTAAGAAAAACATACATTCTACATCCAAGCCACGCATGTAAACCTACCCCGATTACTATTATAAGCATCGCCCTCTCTCTTCAATATCAATATTGAAGATAGGCAATCAACTTGTCTGATTGGTTGAAACCATTCTTACTACCTGCTAATTGGCTTAAATCACATCTCAAGCCCTACCAGCTGTTTACTGAATATTTTGCTCTCTCTGACCTCACTTATTAATTAGACAGGACTAAGTCACTTCCTCTCTTTATCTGACACAACGACATTTTGTCTCACAATTGAAACACCCGTAGCCTCATAAGAGAATCAACTGAACTAGTCTGAAGTGACGTCATGAAAATCACATCCCCAAGCAGCAGCAGCAGCAGCAGCAGCAACAGCAAGAACAAAGAGATGACTCACACTATAACAGTTACATCTCCTACATCTTCAACGACTCGTCGTCCACGTGCTCAAAGTTTGCAGTGTCCAGTGCCTCGTGAATGTTGTAGTTCTGGTTCATTTGTAAGTAAATTATTCCGTATGATTGACTCGGAGCCGTCTACAATTGTATCATGGTGTCGTGGTACGTGGCCTGTTTCTACCTACTTTTTACAAGTAAATGTCGTTACTGATGGGCGTTCTATTCTGTCGTGTTGTCGTTTCTCTCGTAGGAGGAAGTGCCTTTTGTATTGTCGATGCCAAGATGATGGCCGAGCATTGTTTACCCAAATACTTTCGTCATCGTCGGTTTTCCAGTTTGATCCGTCAATTGAATTTCTACAGTTTTTATCGTGTTCAAGAAGGACAATTGACGATTTACCAACATTCTTTCTTTCGTAAAGGACGTCCAGATTTACTTGTACATATTAAACGACGGGGTGCTGGGAAAGCAAAAGATCCGTGGTTTGATCCCCTGGCTCATACAAGTAACAAAGCACCGGAATCAATGAGTAGTACTCGAGTCTTGACTTCTTCGACAAATAATGCACTGCCATCGACAATGAAGTTGGCCCCTTTGGGTCTTGCGGCTTGTTATTCACCAATGGCCAAGCCCATTGCTCTGGATAATATGTCACCGGTATTGAAACCTACTATGGTACAAAATAGTCCACCTTCGGTGGATTTGGGTGGCTTATTTCTTGGTGATGGACTCATGAAGAAGGACATGGACCACGCGTACCCATTGTCGTCGGCACTCAACATGAAGAACGAGCTTTTGTTTGACGAGATGGAGATGGACTCGAATCTGTCTCTTTCAAAAACATCAAGTAGCGTGGCTGCGCCATTGGACATTGACATTCAAGACTTTTTGACAGATGACTGTAATATCACACCTGGTCAGATTGATGATCGTCTGTGTGGCGGTATGAGTTTGAACAAGTGCGCGATGGTGTCACGTGACTGTCTTAAGTTTGATGATCCGGAAAACCTCGAGTCGTCGCCTTTGTTGACGAATCAAGAAGATCCAGAGCCGGTGAATTTTGAGAATGAAGTGCTTATGGACCTTGCCAATGTGGAGCCGGGTGCGTGGGAGGTGCCGCTGTCGCCGTTGAATGAAGAAGAGGACGTAATGCCGTGGCTGGACTTGTGCTTTTAGACTTGGCTCTATGGTTAAAGTTCACCCCACAGATCGACCGATAGACGAAGCCTGTGATGCTGATATTTATGCATGATGCTGATATTTATGCAAAGCTGCTCGCTCAGCCAGTGAAGGCCTCTCGAAGGCCCCTAGATTGTTCTCGATCATCTTTTTGTTCGTTATGGTGCGAGTGTCGTTAGGATGGAGACAGGAAGAGAGATTGAAGTTAGCAAGTGATTAAGATGAGGACTAGGACGACGTAGGATGTAAAGTAGAATGTAGGCGCAGAGCAAAACGAAACACGATGGAAGACAATTGCGGCAATGCGTTGATTGATGTGACAGTGGTCTATTAAACAAGTGTTGTCATAGGCATGAACATGTAAAGTAACGGTATAGTAGTAGGCATCAGGCAGCTCATCTGCAACCAAGCTGCCATCGTAACAATAGTACGAACTGAATACATCCTCTTGGTCGGTTTCTAACTTTAATACTTGAAGATGGACACACGGCCTGCCACCATCTGCGTCGACTGTCTTGCTTCCTCCTCCTTAAACGCCAACTTGGTCTCCTTTTTCTCAGCACGTCGAGCCATCTTTTTCATCTTGACGGCAGCCTTGCGTGCACACTTCTGCTCCTTCGTCTCACCCTTTTGCCTTCGAGTCTTCTCCTGTTCCTGCTGCTGTCGATTTGCCTTGGCCATTGTCGATGTTGCCGTCTCAAACACACCTAGTGGCATGCCCGTCTTACGTGACAGCGTCACCTTCTGCTTGCAGATGTCGCCGCCCTCTGCGATGCTTGCAATCACTGGTTGTTTCTTCTTTTTGCGCCGAGTCGGACCCTCTTCTCGCAGCACTGTCGGGTGGTTGTCAAGTGTCGAGTACGTGCTCACAATAGTCTCGCAATCCCATTTCTCGTGCTCTTCGCGCTGCAGATATTGATTGCGCTCGTAGAGTTCCTGTAACTCCTTCTTCTCGCGCTCACCCCGTGCCACATCGTCTTCTGGACCCTCTTCCTCCTCTGTCTCTGCGTCTTCATCGTACTCGTAGGCGCGACGCTCTACGTCACATTCCTCGAGCACTTGCTTTAGGTGGTTGCCGGTACGAAGCGGGTTGCCCAGCTTGCCCTCGGCGTCAGCGATTTCCTGCTGCACGAACGCATAGTCCTCCACCACGGCGGCAAGCAGCTCGCCATCCAGCGTCTCCTTGCCACGCGTCTCCGGGTCGTCCTCTTCCAGCTCGCCCAGCTGCTCGTCGTCATACTCTTCCGCCAGCGTCTTTTCAAAGAGTTCGTCCAGGACACGCTGTTTCTCGTCACGATCCCCCGGGACCTCAACTTTTTCATCATCTTCACCTCCCTCATCGCTAGACTCCTTGTCCTCCTCGCTAGAACCGTCATCCTCGCTGTCGGTGAGGTTACCGCGGTACAATGGCGTAACGCCACTAGCTGCTTTCATAAGCTTGGCAATATGTTCATCATAGTCGAAATCATCAGCTGTACCGTGCTCTGTATTTTCTTCTGCTGCCTGTATCATGAAATTGTCGTCCAGCTGCTCAAATGCCTCGTCATTCACAAGTGCCTCTCGTAGATCCTTATCCATGACATCCGTCGTCAAAGTGATTGCATCCAACAGTCGGTCCTGTTCCTCGACACTAGGCAGTGCATCTAGAGGCAAGTCCACTTTCTTCGACAGCAATTGAGCCTCTTCTCCAGCATCAAATCGACTTGTCGCCGAATAAAACTTGCCATGCCCCATCTCTTTCATATGTTGCAAATAATTGTAGCCATCGCGTGGCAGTCCATTTTCATCCACCAAATCCTCGGCTTCGACGCTTCCAAAACGTACTTTTCGTACAGGAAAAATCACGTTTTTTTTTCTTCTTCTTCTTCTTGGCAGCTAAAAAGTCCATAAATGTGTCCACAAGGTCCGGCATCTCGTCATCACTATCAAGCTCCGACTCATTATCATCATCTTCTTCATAATCCGAGTCGGAGTGCAGCTCGACGGGCTTTTTGGAAGAAAGAAGGACATATTTGGAAGCTTCGGGGTCTTGGACTTTTGGATCTCGCTGACTACGATGCACCACATGAAAATGCTGTGCTGTTTTTTTATCAATAAATTGTTTCTTACGACCCTATATGATACATTTATCAAGAGAGAGAGAAAAGTTAGAGAAGTTAGAGAGAGGATTGATAGAGAATGGAGAAAGTATTTGGTACGTGCCATGGTAAATGAGATTTGAATGGTTTCAAATGGTCGTGTTGTTTTAATTTTAAAGTAGTTTTTAAGTGTAATTCATAGCAAATGGTGAAGGTGTAAAAATTAGTGGATAAAAAGAAGGACTAGTATCGTGATGTAGTTACAAAACCGGTTGTGAACGAGTTTTGTATGTTTACCGGTAATTTATCAACCGAGATAATTTTTCATATACCGGTATACCGAGGTTCACGTTTATAAGACATACATAGCATCAGGTTGGCACAAATACATATTCATGCATTATGTCGGTATGCTAATGATAGCTCAAGTTCCTCTTGCTTGCTACCGCTGACTCAAAGCTTGGCCAGGGCGTCATTGACAGCAGCGAGACCTGAGGCATCCAGCTTATCAATGGAACCTCCACAGGCGGTCACAAGGGCCTCCAACGCGTCCATGTCGAGCGAGTCACACAGATCCTCCGTCTTGATGACATCAATAGCTCCGTCCAGCCCTTGTTCACTAGCAGCCACCATAAGCCCACGGAAAGCCTTTTTGACTTTTCGAAAGAGCTTTTTTTGCTTCTCCTTGGCCATCTTGGCCCTCTTCCGAGCTTCCTTCTCTTTTTCTTCAGCTTCCTGAGCCGCCCGTTCCATCTCTTCTTTCTTTCGGTTTTCTTCATCAATAAGACGTTGAGCCTCTTCTTCCTTTTCACGTTTTGCTTGAGCTTTACGATCTTTTTCTTCTTGTTTAACACGACGAATACGTGGATCCACTGCCAATGCACGGTCCACAAGACTAGCAAGACGTGCATATTCTTTTTTCTTCTTCTTCTTAGCAACAGCTTCATTTTTCTTTGCCATCCATCGTTTATGATTACGATGTTCTGCAGATTCCACATCATGTTCCGAATCGTGGGTGAAATCACGCCACGAATCAAACCTGTTCCAAAAGTCGTAAAACGCATACACTTCATCAATGGGTTTATCATCACCACCAAGAGTTGGAACCGGTTGATTGTCACTAAATCGAGCATTGGCCGTAAACACAGGTCCATAAAGTTCATAAAAACTTTTTCCTTCGCCTTTACTGTCATTTTCAGCAATTTTTTCCGTCCCGGATGGAATCCATTCGTCAAAATCACATTGGGAATCATAAGCACGTTTTTTTTGAGGATCCATCAGCGTACTAAACGCTTTTTGAACGGCCAAATAATTGGGATCGTTTTCGGTTTTACCGGTTTTATCCGGATGATGTTCAATTAAAACACGATGATACGCTTTTTTCACTTGCTCATCGGTAACGTTAAATCCAAGGTCACTTAACCCTAATTGTTGGTACATGGTCAAGTCCAAAAAGTTTTTACCACGAAGACTACGTCGGTATTTACGTAAAATCAATTCTTCTTCTTTTCGCAAGGCGTGACGGACCGTGGCAGCGTCATCAATTTCATCATGACTGGCAGAACGTCCACGTGCGAAATTACGTGCACGTTTATGAAATGCACGACCAGCAGCTTCGACACGTTTTTGTGTAAAGTAGCCCCCAAGGTTTACTACAATGTTAGACTCGATAAAATCTACAGGAGGGGGAGGGAGGGACAGTGTTAACGACATGTTACAGTGTAGATCAATTGAATGAGAAACTGGTTAAAACGTTTTTTCAATTGTGACAATTTAAGTGTGTTGTTGTTTGGGGGGGGGGGGGGGTGGGGTGGGGGATGGTTAAAAGGTGAGGTTTTTTCTTCAAAACCACGAGAACCATTCGTTTTGTAAGAGGTATAAAAAAATCTAAATTTGAAAAAATAGAAACATTGTAAATTATAAATTAGTACGTACGTACGTACGTACGACTTGTCCATCCATGGGCATCACGTATAATGCTTCTACTTACAACCTCTTAGCCAAAGAGATGACGTCCTTCTTCTTCTTCTTCTTCTTGTTTCTTCTCTCCAAATAAATCATACGCTGCATTACATGAACGTCGAAAGCGTACAACAATTGGACGTGGTGTCGTACTTACAAGTGATTTAAATTGCATCGTATTTGCAATGCTCATGCCATTTACTGCAACAACGTAATCACCTTGAGCAATACGACCCGAAAGTGCCGCTGCACTTGACGGAAGACATTCACGTACAATCACAGAATTGCCCAATTGTTTTGCACTCAAACCCAAGGATGGACCTGAAAATTCAACTTCAAATTCCTTGTTCGTATCCGTAAAATCGTCAGTCTCATGAGCATTTGTAGCTGAAGCTTCACCAAACAATGAGGTCGACTCCATTCCAGACGTTAAATGATCGTGAACTTGTACGTCATCACCGATAATCACCACGTTCACAGACCACCAACTTTGTGTCTCTTGAAGTGTAAATGTAGCTGTATACCCTCGATTCGCGACAAGTCGAGCTGTCTTTCGGGTTGCGTAGACATTGCAAGCATTGGATTGAACCGTGAAATACACGTCTCCTGACGTCAGTAACGTCGGTGTGTAGCCATATGCAAAGACAACGAGAGCACGGTCTGCTCGCCACGCCATCGTGCTTCCTTCTCTTGATGCAACTCCACGTTCAGTCGGAGTATCCAAGACACTTGCAAGGTGTCGTCTCCCAAGTGGAAGAACACGCAACGATGCTCCATCATTTAGCTGTGTGTTCACCACTAACGAATGGCGTGAGCTATTGACCAATGCAAGGACAACACATCCACGTGCTTCCAGACCAGTATGGTTGGCATCCCAGTCGTACACGAGATGTCGAACTTGACGTAACAACTCCGTGCTACTTTGGCACTTATCCAATGCTCGGGAATGTTTTCGCATGATTTCACCATTCGACATGTGCTCGTAGCGAAAAGGATCGCTCGGCGAGTTGTAGCCGTCAGCATGACAAGAGCTCGATGTAAGCAACCCAGGAGCCCGTGCACCAGCTGCAGCGGCTGGGTCAGCTTTACCACGAAGGGTCGATACTAGTGACGTAACGCCACCTGTAACCATACTCGTCACAAGCGATGTCACCTCAATAGAGTCGATCAGATTAAGTGCCTGTGACTTGATGGAGTGCTCGTAAAAGCGCGCAATTGCTGCACGAAGTGACTCCTGCGTGGCCAGTGCATGAGAAAGTCGGTAGCCCTCTAGTGTCAAACACGCGTTCTCGATCTTGAGCTTGAGGTTCGAGAGCCAAAAGCCTTCAGTTTCCTGCTGTCTTGAATCCCTGTTGTTGCGCGTAAAACTTACCACTACACGGACAGGTGAGATTTTGCCCGATACAATGTACAGCTTCCAACCAGTCATGGCTGCCATACCCTCCTCACTCGTATTCTCTTCTCCTTCTTCCTTTTGAGGCACAAAATAGGCGAGCAAGTCGTTTTCCTTGTCATCCTCCTCGTCATTACTGTCCTCTTCACTTGGAAAAGTAGAAATCAGCGACTTGTGTCGAAAATGTGCACTTGTTTCTCGTTGCAACTTGTTGAGCCGATCGACAAAGCGCATTGATGTCGATACCTTCATATTCTGTAGCTTCACGTGTACTCGTTCCACCCATGTGTACTTTTCGTGGGGTCGCTCAAGATAACTCAACTCAAGAAAATGAGTGTCCGTATTGCCTGTCAGAGAACCGGAAACACCATCTCCTCGTAAAAGTGGTCTCAGTACGACACGATTTTTCGATCGTGGAAGAAGGTCTTCGACTTTGAGTCCCATGAGATTTAGTTTTGCAGCAGTAGCTTGCGGCGACCAAGATGCTTCCATGCCAATATGTGTAAACGTTGTACGGGCGACCGGCTCATTGATACCCTCAAAATTGTCGGAAAACAAATTCAGAGGCTCCTCGACCATCTCACTAGACTTCTTGTCATTTACCGTGACAATCACGCCGGCCAATTGAGCGTGAAGACTGAAGGTTTGCCATCCAGCAGTTCCTGTGCCTGTCACTGTCTTCTTTGCAGATGAAGACACTATCGAGCCAGCCGTTGACAGCCGTAATGACGTCGAAGTCGGAGATTCAGCGCCTCTGTCTGTCACTATCACCACGAACGTCGCTTGAGATAAGCTACCTCGCTTCACAACTACCTTCAAGTGGACGCCACGTCCACTTGAGCGTGGTGGCACCAACAAGTCTGTTATACCCACGCGATCAACAGCAAAGGTTGCACTCCAGTCATAACCTTCATTACACGCAAATGTGTCTGAGGCGTCGTGATCCAGTAGCACCGATGCTTGCAGCGGAACTCGAGTTCCTTTCACCCAGTAGAGCGCATACATGTCTCCTACACCTAGTACATGGTGCGCAACGTTGTTACTGCCACTGCTGGTATCTTCTAGCCGCTGGTTCCAGCGATTCGACGTCTCTAACAGTAATAGCGTGTGCGACGCTCGGTTGAAGATCAGATAACGAGGTATAACACTCACAAGTGTCGTAACCGAGCCAAAATGCCGGGTCGCGTAGTCTGCTGATACGCCCAACTCATACAGTACGCCACCACTGCTTCCAGCTGAGCGGAGCGTAATGCATTCGTCTTGCCAGCTGAGTCGTTTGGGGTCTGCTTCGAATCGAGCCGACCAACTGCATCCACGCAATCCAATACGAAGCACGGGCACCTTCCCGCTACTATCGCTTGAGTATGCACTGATTTGGGCACTTCCCACCTGAACACGCGCCTCGCGAGGTGGTATGTAGGCTTCGCTGTCTACGGCTGTGCCATAAACCAACTCTAAACCTGAACGATTGATGGTCCATACGTCGGCTAGAATTTCCACACGCACAGGTCGAGCTGCATAATTGGTGCCTCCCACCACACGTAGAAGAAGTCGAAAGGGACGTCCATCGTCCACGCGAGAAAGCTGTACAGACAATACGGCGCCACTAGCTGTACCACGAGGAGCCAGCGCTAACCACTTGGATTGTGATGTGCAGCCTTCTACGAGCAACTGGAACAGAGGTCGCTGAGCAATGTCGGTCCACCAGATACTGGACTTGGCTCCTACAGCAATTCTTTCCGGCTGTGATGGACTATCACTTGTCCCTAAACCGTAAGCAGAGCTTAAGGCCGACCGCACGCGGTATGTTAGTGGCACCGGCAACTTGTTGACAAGCACAAGCGGCTCAGCAACGGACACCACGCGCATCTCCTTCTCGCTCGACATCGAAACACAGTACACTGCATTTCGAGCATTACCGTCGTTGCCCACACTCTCACGTGAGGAGACTGCTGCCTCCACCTTCTGCTCTACTGCAGATCGTGTCTGTACTGGGATAGGAGCACTCCAAGAATACTTGGTCTCATTCTTCACAGGCCGCAACCGCAGCTCCGACGCCAGGGAAAGTAGCACAGGTATAGCAGAGTCTTGATTTGGGCGCAGAATCCCAATCTCAACTGGTGTGTGCCATGTCGGATCGTTTACGAGGAGCGCAACAGAACGGCGAGACGCTAGTCGGTTAACTAGCTTAATAGGTGACGAAACGACCAGCAAGATACGACCTTCGATAAGGTGAGCCGACAAACATAGTGTAAAACTTGTTCGCTGTCCGTGCGTGTCCACCAAAGGAAATGTGCGAGCGCCTAGCTGCTCAAAAATGAGTCCTTGGATGGATTGGAATCGAGCGGCACCATCACCTGTATTTCTTGAATCCATCAATTGCAGACTAAGGCGCAGGTTTGCTGCGTCTCGGTCTCCAGAAGCATAACGTCGAATTACGCCACGCCCTCGACCTCGGGCATGAACATAACGAACATCAGCCAAACTCCCTGTGGATAAGACTTGAGGGGCCGCTGTGAAAGACCCATTTGTAAGCCAGAATTTCAACGGTAGCCCAGTCTCGTTGCGGATAACACAAGGAGCCCTTTCACGTCGCTTATTTTCTTCGTCTTCACTGTCTTCAGCAAGTTCATTTGCCGCGTGTAAAGCTGCACGACGCTTCCACGCGCCACCGACAGATGCCATGACCTCTAACAACCCGTGCGTAATAGTGAGGTCTAGTGATTGTGATGCCGTCAGAATGACGTGCAACTCACTTTCGCTCGAGATGGATCCCTGTATCGATGTGTCGAGTGCCCACTCCGTGCACATGGGATGCCAGTCGCGAGTTTCTGGATTATAATATGAAATGAGCATTACCAAACGTCCTCCACCAGATATTGTGTTTGTCACTGGTAATACAGACGAATTCGACTCGAAGAAGGAAGCAGATATATCACTGAGCTTCCCCGTTTGTGTGGTATGTGTGACATTCAAAAAGACATGGCAACGCTCGATCTGCAACTGCGCAAGCCCCATGTCACATCCATCGCAGTCATTAATCAGGGTCAGACACACTGACGGCAGCTCGCAAGTAAAGTATCGATGAATTTCTTCCTCCTCCGTTGCAGTATCCCCTTCCGTGTTCCTTGAGGACGTACGTGATCTTGGCAGCGGACGCAAGGTCCGATTGCCATCACGCGATAAATGCCTGAACTTTTTCTTTGAGGCACGACGACGCTCCTCGTGTTGTGCGATTGCTTCATTTAGATGCTCCATTGTGGATACTGCCATACGCGCGTCGTCGTACGATGCAAACACTTCGATAGGAGTGAAGCTCAGCACCACAATCTGCTGTCGCTGGCCATCCTGAGGAAACAGATCGCTTATTTCAACGTGCATATCGCACGGTTCGAGCAACTGTATCAATGATGCAACATCGATGGCATCTCGCTGGGCTTTCGAAGATAATGATGCTACGCAACAACCCGGCCGCCTAGCATTTTCGAGCACTATTTCCATATTTCGTGCTTCAGCAAGGATACTGCTCTGAATATTCAAGTCGCCTTCACTCTTCTCTTTCTTTAAGTCCGGATGTGGTTTCCACGTGTATTCGAGCGTGAAATCGCCAGCAAAGGCTACTCGAGGACTCTCTGAATCATAAGCATCACGTGGTAGAGCAACACCCACTTGCCTAGCTGTCGCACGAATTATGAGCGTCAATTCTGGTTTTCTTCCTTCGCGTAGAATGTCCGAGATACTCTCACGTCGCGTAAACAGAGATGGCGATGGCGGATGTGAAGACCACGTCAATTCGTTTGTTTCTTCAGTGAAACCCTTACGTCTCGTAATTTCAGCTCGACCTGGCTTCGATGGTAGTGCGAAGAAGCCATAAAGTGCAAACAGAGCCTCCGGAATAATAGTGCCCGTGACTTCGGATAAGGACAAGTCCATTTCACCCTTCAACGCAACATCGTCCCATGTATAGCGTATCTCCAGAGGTTGAGGTGAAATCAGTAGCGTCCCGCTTTCAGTGCCATTCACTGAGGGTTTATACTTTCCCACAAGATCCCGAGCCTTGAAAGCTCCAAGACGTATCGCTAATCGTGGATTTTCACTAAATTCCCTACTGAGCACCAGCGAAAAATCGGTAGCAATGATCTCGGCGAAAGCTTCGTTGTGCGAAGATTTGGCGCTATCTATAAAGGTTTGTTGCACAAATAAATCCGGCGTCATATCCTGCATCGCCAGTGGCTCCACTTTCTTATCTGGAAGCAACAAGATTCGGACATTCTGCATTGCAAATTCCATCTGAAGTGTTGCTTCACCTGCATCCGGTTCAAGGTACGTATACGTCACAGTAGGGCGTAATGATGACACTCTCCCTCCACCAGTACTACTGCGTCTCCTGCCAAAATATCGAACAGCGCTGGTTGTTGGCTCAATCTCATCTGTTGTGGTAGGAACCATCTCTAGTTCGTCAGCACCAAAATTTTCAAAAATCAGGGCGAGTGTACCTAGGTAGCTAGTACGCGATAAGTGCACTTCCAGCGGAGGCAAAACTGACTGCACCGTAATTCGCGGGAGATAAAATGTTCTTCTTTCGCTGTCGTCTGCCGCTTCGTCGTCACCTAACGAAATAGTTGATGAAACGAGATCTTCAATGCTGATCTTTAGATCAGCAGGCTTGGCAAGTAAGTCTTCATATACTGGATCTTCGTCGGTACCGTTCGTCCTTTTCTCTGCCTTCGTTGCTGTGCAAAAAATATGGACTTGCTCGAGAAAGAGATCTTTACAGTCTACTCGCAACGAAATACCATTACTCTTGTCGACAGACCTGCGAATCATTGGTCGTTCCAGTGCTTCATCATGTTCAACGCGCTTGATTCTCGCTCCGGGGAGGCCATCGTAGTGCACTGCGCTAGACGGAAAATGAACTAGCCGTAGCACATCTGCAGTTACTTTAGCATGAGGAGCATCTTGTAAGCTCAACGGAAGTATCACAGTAGGTTTTTCAACGCTCAGATCCAGCACAACTTTAGCCTCATCTTCGCGGAGTAATAATTGCGTGGCGCTCTCCAGCGTCTGGCTTACCATAGTACCAAGAACTCCCTCGAAAACGAAATCCACAAGCTCTAAGACTTGCTGGTGATAGTATACACCGCGAATCGGTTGAAACGCCAACCGCAAAGAGCTCTTGTCACTTGTCACCGGATCGCTTGCAAACTCAAAAGTCAGCAGTGCTTCTAGCTCTTTTCCTAAATCGCAACGGCGTCGAGCTTCAGCTTCATCCAAACCAAGTAACGTCGAATACAAAGGATGCTTCGATGTGCTCAAATCCGTGCCCACAAAATTTCCCACGTGGCCTGTTACCTCGAAAGCGTCGTCGTCAGAGAAAGTTCGACCGTCCACAGCATAACTCGTGAAACAAACATCCGCATTGCTCATCTCAAGACGTGCCAGCTGCCGATTGAGCTGATCTTTGTTAAATGTCAAAGTGAACTGAACTAGCGATGCGCGCACCACAACAAGAGGCTGTCCTCGAGATCGCAAGCTGGATAATAAGGCGCTTCTCTCCTCCTTGTCGCCTCGTTGCATTTGATAAGTAGGTTCTAACTGGTCTTGCTCGTGAGACGATGGTGTCGGTCTCTCTATCGCCAACGTAGAATCTTCAGAGTAAATGCCATTATCATGCGCCTGCACTGCAGATGCACAGGCAGAAAGAATGCGATAAAACAGAGCCACAGACGACGGATTCCACTGCACATGCAGCACATTGAACTGCACATCAGCCTCCAACTGTGAAGGTCTTTCTCTCCTATTTTTCTGCTCTCTTTGTTCCACAGACCCCGATGAGTATGTCACAACATCAACAGCAATTAGGTAAGGAGTCTCGCTTTCGTTTTCGCCTGTGGAGATCAATTTATAGTATCGCGAATCAGGCGAGTAGAGCTTGTCTTCCATTACGAGTGCCTTGAGTCGTGCATGGAATAGCTGGTGAGCCGAGTACGTCTCAACAGCGAAAGAAGTATGTGACGCACGCAAGACAAATGCGTCCTTAGCAGTTGACTCGCGCAGGTTGAGCTCCACACATGTAAGCGAAAGTTGCATCTCAAGAAGATACTTCTCATCCGCCAAAACGACAACAGCAGTCACATTATCTGCGCTCCTGTCGCATGCACTGTCTGACTCAGTCGCACCTTCCTCACCACTGCCAAGCTCATGCTCATCAAAGTATAACAAACGTCGACCACTGTCCCTGGTAGTAGCGCTCGCCCGCACGAGGGATGAATAAATCTGCCCCAATGCCACAAGTTGATTCTCAGTTAGCGATACAAATATTGTAGGGATGGCAGCGTAGATGCCCACTTGCGGCAGTGGCTTGGCTGAAACGCTATACTTCCTACTCCGCGAGGGAAGCCTGAGACGTGAAGATGATGACTGTGTGTGCAATGAGAATTCAATCGATAGCTCCTCCACTATTTTGGAGAAGCTCCGCAGCTCTGCGTCGGTCCATTCGGTCAAACGCTCCTGGCGGCCAAGTAATACGTGGATCTTGGTCATCTCAAGCCGCCAGTACAAGTGACGCGAATCGACATCTGTAGCACCACGATCCACATTGAAAGACGTATTGGTAGCCATCATCTTTTCTTCGTTGCGAAAGCTCAGCATACCAAGATCAACAACAAGTACGGCACCAGTCGTATCGGCTATGTCTTCCGGTAGTATAAGCACAGGAGCATTTATGCTTACCAAAACGTCGTACTCAACACGGCCTTCTGCTGTTTCTAGTGAGCGCATTAGCTCAGCTTCTTCAGCTTCCTTTTGTGCGCTAAGCTCTGATGACCCCAAGAGCTTCGTATCATCTGTAGGATCATCAGCGAACATCCAGTCGGCTACTGAGGACGTCGCAAACTGCCAAACTTTTTCAAGCTGACTCTCTGGTAGTAGGCTGACGAAAAATGCATGCAGGAACTTTACGAATGATGGATCAACCATCACACGAATAGGCGCTGAGGTTACGCGTACTTTCAGCGTGGCTCCAACGTCATCATCACTCGGTACCCGGTTTTGTACCATTGCACGTCGACTAATATCGACACTGACACAGGCTGTACTCAGGTCGTCGTTAGGCGATTGCAAGGACGACGGACTACAGAATGAGCGGAATCGAGAATCGCGCGCCAATCCATTTTGAATGTCAAAGTGCTGAACACGGACTTTGGCATCCCACTCATTTTCTGGCTGAATGTTCATAGCTAGTGAGCCATGGAGCGTGCTAGTAACGAACGGACTCTTGTGAGCGTTTGACTGATAAAGCGACATAGAGCCATTCGAAAGCTGGATCTGGACAGACATAAGGTTGCACCCCAGTGGCACCTCATGCGCACTACTATCCTTTTCCATGGCATCATTGTAAGCTTCACGTAAATTCTCGCGGCCTTCAGCTGACAGTACCTGCCCCTCATTTTCTTCATCCTGTCCAACAGTATCGCCAGTATGACCACCGAAAAAGTACGAATACCACGAGCTACCACTGTCTTGTGCATCCTGGGCCTTTAACCGTGCTTGCGCAGAAGCCTTCTCTTCTTCTTGTGCACGCTCCTCGGCATCGTCTGCGACGTCGCGTAATAGCACAATTACATCCAGCGGGTAAATTTCTTCATAGCGTTGTTTGAACTTGCCTTCTCTAGTTGACAGATCCAACGGGGCATTATTGCGTAGTACCGTACGGAATGCCTCCACGTACAGTTGCTGTTCAAGCAATGCTTTATGCACGGAAGACCACCGTATTTTGCGGTAATGAGGCCATCGATGATGCCGGTGGTGTGTAACATCATCTGTATTGTCGTCGCCCTTCGCGTTAGCTCGACACTTTGCCCTGCGTTGCTCAAGCACTAAAGCAGTAGCATAGTCCCACCACTCTCGAGGGCGTTCTCCAGGTGTGTGCAATGGTCGTCCTCTTGCCAGTGCATAATGGGCTTCTACCGCGCGTCGACCTAAGAATGCGCGCTGTAAAAACAGCACATCTTCATACTGTTCGCGCGTCAAGCTTCCTTCCAGGGCCCCAACTTCAGCTTCTATTGTGTACTTGGCAACTGCCGAGTAATCCGTACTCTCATTCTTCGTCAACTGTGCAATGATTGAGCAAGGACGTAGCACCCACCGTCGATTCTTGTCAATCTGCCAGTCTTCCATTGTTTTACTCATCGCTTGTACCATTTCTCGCATAACTTTTGGAACATTTTCGCACGTCTCGAGTCTCGCACTCTTCTCGTGAGCATCCAATCGATCCCAATACATTCCAAATTGTGCAAGTTCTGCTTTTTTATACGTAAACAAATCACACCATAAACTCTGATCAACAAAAACTTCTCTTCCTTCGCCATCCGTCGTTAAAAATCGAAATTTTTCCAGCATAAATCCACATGCAAATGGTGTCTCTGGATTTGCCAGGACATCTTCATATCTCACATGAACATCCAATAATGTCACTTGTAAATTATCCACAATTCGAGCCGTCAGTCTCGACACAAACGTACTTTCCGTTTCAATTTTGTGTGTCGTGTTTTCTTGTTTGTGTTCCACTCGTGCAGCAAAGCGACAATGTTGTCGTATTAATTCTCGTCTCTCCAATTGATTTTTTTTCACTTGAAATACTTCCACTGGACTTGGATGTTCTGTATTAGGTACGACCAGAACCGTCACGCCTTCAAGAGTGATGGTCACACTAGCACTTCCAAGTTGATTCCAGGGTACATGAACTCGTACACGTGCCACCGAGCCACTGGCTATTGCCACCGGAAGTTGAAATTCAGCGAAAGCATGCGGTTTTAATATTAAATCTCGCAGTTCTAACTCCCCACTCCAAAGTCCCACAACCAACGAGTCGCTACGTAATCCATCGATATATTTGCCAAGTTGGGCTTCTAATATCTATTTATTATCAAGAAGTTAAGACAAAAAGATAGTCATACATTTTTATAAGTGTTGGATAAGAATCAGAATCAGAATCAGAAGAGAGTGAAAGAATAATAAACGTACCGAAGTAATAAGAGCTTTGGCCATACGGAATAAAAGGTCGGATATGTGGAATTATATGGAATTGTATATATAAATGTAGTTTAAACCTTGTGGTTGGATTATTAGCCAATGAAGATACAGCTCTTAACAAATGTACAAAGAGATTCGTTTGAACAAAGAAAGCTATGGCTTTTCTATGCATCCAATAGTGTTGATTGTAGGCCAGGTTTATTCTTAATAATCAACGAGTTTTCTTGAAAAATCACAATGTATTTATTTGCTAAGTAACTTTTGGGGTTGAAGTATCAGAAGCTGCTCATAAAGTGCTTTATTAATTTACAAGCCGTTCCTTTCATGAAGCCCTAATACAATGAGGCGTCTTTTTTATTTTAAGAATAAATCCATTTAATCTTAAAATAAATGGATTTATTTTATTTATTCTTAGAATAAAAAAGACGCCGCCTCATTAATGACTTGACGATCGACGTATTTATTGTGTACGAGCTCCATGAACTCGGAAAATTGACAGACAAAAGCCCATTTCGATTCTACAGGGCAAAGTTTATTACTACCAGGTATACTTTTTATAAAGAACGTTTCTTAACAGTCATGCCAAAGCACCTGTCGGTCTTCAACTCTTCTTTAACGCATACTTTGATTATATATTCACTCACGAGCCCTTGGATCGCCTTTTCCATCTGTCCACGCAATTAGCAGATAAGCTAGGCTCACGTTAAAGCAATTTATAAACATTGGCACTAATTGTTAACATTTTTTTACCAGAATTGCTGCATGTACGCGCATCTATTAAGTGTCCAAATGCAGCTCGCGCTCTCCATGCAACAGCACGAGCGTTGACGATATCAGACACGTCAGAAAGGAAGGGGCTATAAGCTTTTGCGCGCGTAAACATTCCAGATGACGTTGCTTCGCACCTGTTCGTCCATACGATCCGCTTAGAGGCCGAGCCAGACATTCTCGAATGAAATCTCATACGTCTTTCCTTCCTAAAGGTTGCCAGAGTTGTGGCTATTTGCAGGAACTTGCATTTGTATATAAACAACAAGACTAGATTGATCAATGTCACGCGATTTAAACCCATACACTTTCCCGGATTAAGGTGATGTGTGACACTGAGCCAATCTTACTGCAATCTCTAGCTTTTGTCATCACAGGTATATAATATGTAAGGAAAAGAATATCTCAAATCGGCCGACTCTCCATGGAAATCGGTCAGGAAGACGACAGACAATTCTTTTCGAGAAAATGTCTTTTAAAGCTTAAGAAAGGACTCTTTACAGAATGCAGACGTAGAGTCGGATCAAGCCAGGGGGCTTGTAACATGTAGGAATTAGGGCAAGTGATGGAAGAAAGCGAGGAGGAATTATTTCAACACGATTAAGAGATAATACTGATATCGTATTAACGAGAAGAGAGGAGAGAGAGAGAGAGAGAGAGAGAGAGAGAGAGAGAGAGAGAGAGAGAGAGTGATGATGATGATATGCACCATCGTGAAAAGCGTCACGTTCCGCTTGAACATCTGCTTTTGACGTTGACTTGGCTTCACTGTGCATGTCACAAATCTCAGAGCAAGGTCAAAACTGGATTTTTTATAGATTCACAACTTTAATATCTATAGAAAAGACGCTTACGTAATTAAAACCCATATGAAACTTCTTTCATACTTAATAACCTGTCTAAACACTTTAGTGCTCATCTCATCGCAACTAGATAAATATCATCCGACCTTTTTTTCCAAAATCGAGTCCATTTTGTCTTTTGCCTTGTCAAACATCGTACTACAGTAATATTCCACATATATATTCCTAACGTCTATTAACTTGTATCAATACTACTACTACTACTACTACTACTACTACTAATGGATCATACTCCTCATCCACGAGATTGTCGACTCCCTCGTGCTCATTTAAAATCACGTCATCAACGACCTCCTCCAGCCGTAGTCACTAATACGGTCGAATTACAGACACTCGTGGCTTTTTCAGCCCTTGAACAACGGACGGTTGCTCTGTCTCAGGATGAAATCCAAGTCTGTTCTCGGCTGGTGGAACTTCTATTGACTGATACTTTACAGGCCTATGATCAAATGGATCGTCAAGTTTTATCGCACCACTGGAAATTGCTCAAGAAAAACGATCATTTGACAATTTACAAGCAACGGAAGGAATTTGTACTCGAAAAGGCTCGAAAACTTGCTCCAAAGGGTCATTGTCACTCAAATGAGACGGAGCTACCACTGCTTCTTGTAACAGGTCACTTGGCTGGTCATGTTAATGATGCCATGTACGGCTTAGTCAGTGCTAATACACGGACGATGAGAATGAACGCTGCTTATGCTGGAGACCCATTGGAAGACGCTAAAGTATTGACAACAATTGAAGGTCCGACCATTGAAGAACCTTTTCGTTTTCTTGGACTTAAATGGGCTGTGCGCCATGATGTTATTTCTGCCTCGTCCTTTGTCAAACGACGAGATTTATTGTACTTGGAGGCTACAGGAGTTACCAAGACGGCCAATGGAGAGAGAATCGGTTACCGTGTCATGCACTCGGTGAATATCAAGGCTTTGGCTGACTTAGCTGCAACGACTATTTCCTCTCCGGTCATTCGTGCAAGAACATCCATCGTGCAGTTATTCCATCAACAGCCGTCTTTGGAAGGCTCTAGAGGCCTTTCAAGCACGTTAAACGTGTTTACGAGGGGATACTACGACCCTCAGGGTGGAATGATGCACTTTTTAGCAGTCAGTGCAGGTACGGAGCTCCTGCTGCATATGACATTCTCTGTCGTGGACTGTGCACATCTCAAGAAGATTGCATATGCGGTCCAACGAGCTAGACGGAAACAGAGCGCGGCGAGTCAGCTGCACAAGACAAACTATGGTGACGAAGGTATGGGATGGATTGAAGAGATTGGCGATGAAGATGTTATTCGTATGGATAACAAAGCTTGCTTGACGAATTGCTCGCTGTGTGATCGGCGATTCGGTAGTTTGTTAAACCGAAGTGGTGTATCGTGCACTATTTGTGCTAAGATGGTCTGTTGGCGCTGCAGTGTTGTCAAGAAGTTGCGCTTCTATGTAAGAGATGACAGCAGCATGCCAGTGGACAATGGTGTGGATTTGGGTGAGATTATGGGTATGCAGCACTTTGAGCAGCCCGAGACGTCCCGAGCTTCTACAGAGAGAAGTAGCAGCGACAGTGGTGGTTCCGTCGTTATGAACGACATCCGCCGGAAGGCTCTCAAGTTCTGTTTGCCTTGTGTGTTACGTGCCAACCATAGGAATGCGTCACAGATTGTGGTGGAGGAGATTCTAGAGCAGACGACTTTTGGACTCGTCAGTCCCAGCCGTGCGACGGACTGCCCCAGTAACCATTCTCGCCCGTCATCAATTCGGCGGCGATCAACTCAGACTGGACAATTACACAACTTACCACCGTCCTCGCATGGGTTAAACCAGTTTTCTCATTACGCGGCATCTCCTTATTATCAGCCGCGTCAGAAAGCTTACAGCAGTGTCGCATGCGTTCAACATGGACTATTTCGCTCAACCTCAGCTTCCCCTCGTGCTTCGCCTCGTGTCATGCTGTATGTTGAAGATCCAACAATGACGCGCCCCATTGTTTAAAGACTGTAGCACTACTTCCAAGTCGAAGTTCTCCACTGCGCATTTCAAAGTAGAAAGCGTTCATTAGTGAGACCACTCCACCACTCAATACAAAACATGTCCATTGAACAGTGTACATGTCGACCTCATTTGACCTTTCGACACTCCGGTAGCTCCTGAAATTCACTTGAAACGTATCCAATTTATTTCCAAAGATGCTCGTTCCAGTCACCCGTATGCTCATAGCAGGACTTCTTGCTGGGGGTCTAGCACATCGTGGTCTTAAAAAACAATCACTGGATGCATCGGGTGCCATTGCTGCCTGTTTTGTGGGGTTCATGACACTTGCATCGAGCTATCGCTTTGGTATTTACCGTCCATTCCTTTCGTCTCAACTAAGCAAACATCTCATTCTCCTCTTTATCTCATGTCAATGTAGGTCTCCTCCTCTTCGGTTTCTACTTTTCCAGTAGCAAGCTTACCAAAGTACGAGCTCATTTCAAGCAACAGCTTGATACCAACTACAAACCCGGTGGTCAACGATCGGCACGTCAAGTACTGGCTTGCAGTCTCTTGGCCACCTTTGTGGCTATCTACTATATCCTTCAGTTTGGAGACGACGAAGTGGCTCTCAATTTCCAGACCGCTCCAAAGCAAAGCTATCTGTTAGCGAGCTATATTGGACATTACGCGTGCTGCACGGCCGACACGTGGGCCTCGGAACTCGGGGTGCTTAGTAAGAGCGAGCCTCGACTCATCACGACGTTGAAACGGGTGCCACCTGGTACCAATGGCGGTGTATCTGTGCTGGGGCTGGTTGTATCAGCACTGGGAGGAGCTTTCATTGGAGCTCTATACTACGTGTCGAGTTTGGCGTCCGGCTCGGCGCAGCTCCAGGTGATCACGCTGGGGATCATGACCGGTCTCTTTGGTTCCGTGCTGGACTCGGTCCTTGGTGCGACGATGCAAGCCACGTACTTTGACCAAACATCGCGCAAAATTTGCGATGGGATGGCAAACGTCGACCACGTTTGTGGAGTCAATTGGTTGAGCAATGAGGAGGTCAATGTCGTGTCTACACTGGTGACTACAATTATCAGTGGAGCGATGGCAAGCTATTTGTTCCCGTAAGAAGATGAAGCTATAGGACAATGCGAGGATAATGAGGATGCAACTGGAGACGAGCGATATGGCAGCTCAACCCTTTTTGCCCATTGACATTGGTTACATGCTCCTTCAGTTGTTAGATGTTCATGTTGTAACCCTCAACACGACCAGACTTGCTTCCTTCTGCAGCATAAACATATCTCTGGCTCAAGTCCAATCCCTCGAGGACTTAGTTGTCATCTTGACGCGAAAAAGAGAGGACATCAGTATTGACGTGCACTGAATTCGCAAACGTGTAGTAGCAGCAAAGGAATATATGACGGTAGATTGAGCCATGGATTCAGTCAATGTATATTCATATGTCACCAATTGCTCTCTCCGACAATGACGCGCATGAATACTACATCGTTGTTAAAGCGTTTCCCACCATGACATGAACGATAAGTATCTTGGCATTCCTGATCGTAATATCGATGGGTGTCACCCTCGCGTTTGCTTGTACTCCACGCCATGCCCCTTTCACAGCAGAGCAGCTACCGTCACCAACATGAACACCAGCTCATCCTCAAATTACAATTCGGTTTCCATCCACACTCGGCATCCTGCTGCATCCAACATCCCAACACACATCGAGACATTGCCACGAAACCGACGACAGAAAGACATTACACCAACCGAGTTCATCTTCACAAGAGCTTCTCTTGTCTTGACCATTCTTATCTCGTCCTGCCTCCTTCTCAGCTTCTCCGATATCGGGCTACCTGGCTGCAGACTATTGCTGCACAAACGACAACAGACATAACATACCAAACCAACAAACGTCACTGCACCACCTCCACCGAAGACCTCTTGCTGCTGGCCTTGCATACCACGACCTCCCCAAAATTTTCTCAAGCACCTTTGCAGCTGGAAAGAATACAAACTCCTACGTTTGCCTGCTTCAGTTAACGAAGTCACCGAGCACTGCATCTGCTTCTTTGCTCAAATGGCGATTGCGATCTTCTCCCTGCACCCAACTAAGCACCAGCGAACACTCATCAGAAGCAGAAGTCTAAGTCCAAGTGAGGTTCAAGGATAAGTGGTGATCCCAGCCCAATGCGATAACACGTAGCCGACATATACTTTTGAGCGGGCATCGTGGAGCAAGACATGACCAACATGTCTTGCTCCACAATGCCCGCTTCAAAGTCATTCATAGATCGCCACGTATGTGTATTCGTCTGAACCACCAAGTACACAACGCCCCAACAACCTGAACAACCGAACAATATTCGACCGCCGCACCTATGTCTTCCTTCACCACCGCTACTATCAAAACCATCACGACACCGACACGACACTGTATCATTACAACCAGACACCACCTGCAAACCACGACGAACTTCAACCCACACGCCAGCCACATCAACACTCTAAGCCACCATCACTTCATTACATCCCGAGCACAATCACAATCGACGGCCTTGTACAGCCATTTTAATGACTTGAGGTCATGAAAAAGAGCAGGAGCTGACCATCCATGGAGATCAGAGAGAGAGAGAGAGAGAGAAGGAGACAAGTCGATTCAACCGTTTAAGAAGCTGCAGCATGTCTGGTAGTTCCCTATCGTTAGCAACGTCAGTGAACTCAATCGAGTCTAGTGATTGTACGGTGGGGTACTGACGCTCTCGAAATTGTCCGATTATGTTGATGCAGCATAGCAGCAGACGTGTACCAAGCAGCTATTATCGAAGGTTCAATAGCCTATCTTCTTTTCTCTCATGATGGGGCTGCATGACTTCAACATCAACTGCATTCGTGGGGGTGGATAGATCGTACGTATCAAGCTTTTGTCGATACAAGTGCCACAGCTTCAACTCGTACGCGGCTGCAAAATACGTTACGATGGACTTGCCTTATTATCTTTTAACTCACAACTCACTTTGTCTCGTGCGTGTGCACAAGGTGTGCTCCTAAGACTGTCAGAAGCCTTTATGCTCATCAATGTGAACGTATCGAACATGTTGATCAAAGGTGACCATAACAAAGTGGTCGAATCATTCTATTTGCACGTGAGACTCAAGCCTTGATGTGTGAAATGTCAGCTTCCATCATAATGCGTTCTCACGACCCCAACTTTGATGACTCTCAACGAATGCAGCAAGACTTTCTCGACAAATACTTGCTACTCAGATCTACCTCCTCCTTATTCGTAAAGTCAAGTAATGCTGCTCGTTGTTTGGCTCCTCTACTCGATAGCTACCTACCATCTTTACCTTTTCAAGTAAACTCACAAAGCTTTACCAAGTTCTCCCCAAAGTCTCAGCTCTAGAAAAACGTGGTTTTGTTTGTACGATTCTACTGCATGGCTGACGAAGTCACGACCAGAATCTGCTAGGACAAATCCGAGCTTTTCAAATCCTGTATCTCCTCACCCCCCCCCCCCCCCTCAAATCATTTTCTTCGTTGCGATATGAGGATCTTGAAACCAACGGGTGATCCTTACTTCCCATCTTTGGATGCACGAGAAAAGTTTCACGAAATTCATGAATCTGATCCTCCCGAAGACACTCACTCGATGACCAATGTCCCCATTTCTCAAATTGCTACGTGACCTAGATCTCTTGGCAACTACAGGACATTAGCTCATTCATTACAATTCAAACGATCAATGAGTTACCGTTTTCCGATTCAGTCGATGCCTCAATTCGACGTCACCGACTTAGAACATGAAGCCAGTATTGAATTCATGCAGGAATTATTGAATCATACGATCCGGGAATTTGAGTTCCATTCCTATCATAATCATGGCATTGTAGACACTAGACGTTGGAAATCACAAACGCACCGTGATGATATTGAGTTGTATCGTGAACGCAAAGTCGGTGTAACGGGGGGTACGTTGTTCAATTCAGCACGTCATTGTCGACTTGATTTACCTCTTTTTTCATCGACAGTCAAGACATTGGCATCCCCTACCATGCTACTTACAGGATATGGTCACGGACGTGTGGAGAACGCAATGAGTGCAGTCGTGACCGAAAGTCAGCATGATTTGGCTCTTGCAGTGAAATTCAAGCACCACGACGTAGCCGACTGTGCTATTCTTAAAACGTTGGAACCACCGACGGAATCCGAGCCCTTCCATTATCTCGGGTTTAAGTTCTTCGCTCGAAAGTCTCCGACCGAAGGACATTTGTTCAAACACCGACATAGTGTCTACCTCGAGTTTAGCGGCATAACTGAATCCAGCACAGGAGAACAGATCGGCTTTCATTTGATGCATTCAGTTGAGCTTCCAATGTTCCCTGACTTGAGTGATTACAACTCGATCCGTGCACTGCAGTCAACGCGGTACATTTACCGACAAAAGACCAACAAGACGGTCGAGGTCTTTATGCTGGGGAACATGGACCTCTCTGGTCACATTTTTAAACCGTTAGCCAACAAGTTTACGGTTGATGTATTCTTTGGTGTCACGCGGCTACTGGAGTTGGCCAAAGTGCGTCGTCTGTCGCAGATGGCGTACAAGCAGCGATGTTTCGGTGCCAATACCGCAGTTCTAGGCGGTACACCGGCGTGCAACGTGTGTACTCGTACTGCTACCAAGCATAAATTGTTGCGCTGTCACTTGTGCGGAGAGGATACGTGCAAGAAGTGTACAATCACCAAGTCCGTGTTTGTAAGTGACAAGTCTGGTATCCTCGGAGACTTTGTAAAGGTGCCGGCATGCAGGGCTTGTGTGCGGCGAGCCAACACAGGTACTTTAATGCCACGCGTGCTACGCACTCCTGACAGTGATCTCCGGTTTGACTTGTACAGGCCAAAGCCTAGTAAAACGTGGAGCAAACCTCAAGGTGCCGATCAAATGCTTGCGTCAGAGAGATGCCGCGACACGTTCCCGTCCGATTCGACTCCTATCCTTGATTTCACTCACCACAAGTCAAGTTTACCGACAACGTCAAAGCTCTGCCAGCAGGAGAAGGAGGAGAATATCATTGACCCGTTCCTTGAAAGCTCTCAAAGGACAAAGCACATCACAGGTGAAAAGTCTCATTTCAATCAAAGTTCTGAGCATGCTGAAGTCTATCCGATCCGACTTCAGCCCCGCTCGCGTGTCTCGATTCTAGCTCCGGTCGACACTGATCTCTACAGCACACTGCCCCGCAAGACAAGACCAAGCATGGACCCACAAATGTCAGCAGACATGCCGTCAGCAGAACGTGCGGTAATGAACCGCCTGACTGAGTTAAGCAAGATGGCAGAGGATACGTTCGCGACAGCACGTCGGAATGGCATTTATTGTGAGCAGCACTGGCAAAAGGAGTTTCAGATGGAAATCGATGCAAATCGCTCTCAAGTTCGTCGTACGACTGTAACTTCACGGTTTTAACTAACACTAGCGACTTTTGGCAGCATTGATTCCTCGTTGGAAGGGAAGATTGTCATTTGAGAAGCAAGACATGAGACTGAAACGAGAAGAAGAAAACAGCGTGTACAATAGGCAAGTGGTGATATTAAAGGTATATAAAGAACACAAATGAATGGATTGCGTTGTTATCTATTCTTGTTCATTGCGTTCGTTATATATATACCCTGGATGTTACGGGTTTTAGCAGCTGTACCCAAATTTTAATTTTTATTTGGATACCCGTCTTTCTGTTATAGGCCTATGATAGTAGCAGACAATCGATCTGCTCGTACTTTTTTTCTTTAGGATTCGTCCTAATCTCGGAAATTGAGGTTAAATCAGATGTAGAGTAGGTTTATGTTAACTAGAGTGATAGAATACAGCCAGTATGGAGATGGGAGGCACGTGGGACAAATCTGTGGAGCACAGACACGTGCGACTGCTGTGTGTGAGAGCAAGTACATGTCAATGACGACGTGTGGCAAAGAAGGGTGCACCATCATTCAGTTGCGACTACCGCATTGCTCGTGGATGCGACAAAATGAACGGGAGCTCTGTCGATACCAATGATTACTGGCCTATGCAATGCATGCAACGGTGGACTTTTCCAGAGCATTAAGTCAGACTTGCATGACTTTTTATAAAGTGTATAGGACCCACTATAGAAAACTTACAGCACAAGGCCAATGTAAAAGCCTGAGTAGAATCATGAACGTTAGATGCACTTGCCAAATGCGTTACTTCCGCTTTGAGAGATCGACAAGTCCGAGATTGCAGCTGGAAGCCGAGTTGATTGAAGATTCGATTGTCAAAAAACGTAGCATTGTCTTGACCACTGGCTATTCCACATCCGACTTTTTTTCTTGAATGATCTTAGGAAAATCTCTCTCTTCGAAGAGCAGGCTTTTTCCTTGAAGTGTACTTGTTGGACATTTACATGCCTATGGCAGTTATATTCTCCTATTCCTTCAAACACTTTCAATCTCACTCTCTATTCTCACCATGATCCAAGTTTTTGGCTCCATTTGCATTTTCACAGTCGCCCTTGCCCTTGCGGCTGCCGCTGACAACCCATTGTTTGTCTACAACTTTAAAGCTTCGGATGCTGCTGGTATCGACGGCACTATCAAAGTGAACTACGCTGCCAAAGACTCGACCGTTGCCACCATTACGGCCGAACTTGACTTCTCGGCCGTCGACCAGAAGAAGATTGCTACCTTTGACGGTAATTGTACAGGCGACGTTACAAGCTACAAATGGCACATCCATACTGGATGGAACTCCGCAAAGTCTTCGGACTCGTTGAAACTATGCTCTAAGGCGGCAACTGGTAACCACTATGACCCTCTAAAGGCTTGTGGTCCTGCATCGGAATACGTCGCTGAGCCCGAATGCAAGGCCAAATCGTTGACCTACGCGTGCAATCCAGCCGCCTACATGGCCGACCCAATGGTGTGTGAAAAGGGAGACTTGTCCGGCAAATTCGGTGCCTTGACACCCGGATCAAACCACAAGGTATCGGAGAAGTGGACGGACTCGCACTATCCGCTGGCATCCGAGAGCACAAAGACGTGGAGTATTGTGCTTCATGCTGTGTGCGGCAAAGAGACGCCACGAGTTTCGTGTGCACTTGGGAACGAACAAAAGGAACATGCAAAGGAAGACGGGCACAAAAAGAAGTGCCGTTAAGTCGTTGAGTAGCCACTTGTTGCCATGTCAACCCCTTGTTTTCTTTTCAAACACTTGAACAATTTACTTTTTGTGAAGCTTTCACTGCTGTCTTGGCAACCTCTTTGTCGTTCTTCTGCGTTGCTGCGTGCGGTTTGAAAGATAAGTTAGGCATTACAGGATAGATTGGTGCGAGTGGAAACACAACAGTGATTGACCTGTATGATGCATGCATGATCCGTATGTAAGTAAAAAAAATCTGTGCTTGGATGAAAGACGGTAAGTGTTCCAGAGGGTATCCGAAAACCTTAATTGGACGTCGCTAGGGTGACGAAATGTTGTGTCCATGTCAACTGAATCTACCCTGTAAGAGAAGATGAGGGTGGATCAACTGCATCATCATAGTAAAGCCATTTGAAAAGTTTGTAAAAGCGCACATTTGAAAAAAGGTGAGGGAGAATTGCAGTGTAAGTATCTGTCTGCATACAACTGGTCGTATTGATCATGCGACAATGTTGCTCACCATTGCGGTTTGGTTGCTAGCGTGAATACTCTCTCAGTATCTACACATTCGTAGTTCACAGTCTCCACTTTACCGCTGATCATGTACTTTTTCAAGATGACAAGAGAGGTTTTGGAACCAAGAGATCATTGAGAACCAGAAAAGGAACAAACAATGGTGAAGAATAGATGTCAGGACGCAATGGCATGGTTTAAAAAAGGTTAAGACGTGTTTAGTTTGAGAAAGCGTCGACGATTACATAGGAAGTCACGCCAAGAAAGAAATTGACGGGGTGGACTTTTTTCCATAGCCGAACATGATGAAGTGGATCGTTCGTTAAAAAGTTGATGAATATGCAGAACGGTATCGGCCAAGGGATCAACTGAACAAATGGTTGGAAGACGGAAAGGAATCTAAAGTGTTCAAACTTGTGCTTAAGAGGAACGAATCTGGAAACAATTGGGATCGTTGGAAGACATTAACTTTATATCAAGTAGTACGCTGCTGACTCAAATGCGATTACTAATTATAGAGCGATTTTCACTACTTGGTCACACGACTAATGAAGATCTCCAGTGACTTTCGACTTTACTGTTTGGTGCCAGCAGAGCAGTATCGGCGACGACTACGAATGAGCCGTAGTTCATGGTACAACAGCTGTGCAAGGCACACACACGACAAAATAGTGCCCACCTCAAGCAGAATAAACACTGGACCCCACGAACACACTTGCACACACCGTGGGCTTTTTGGATCGCAGCCTGCCGGCTCATACTGGCAGTTCGCCAAGTATCCCACGAGGTATTGCACGAGGGCGGCGCCGATGCTTCCAGTTCCGTCGATAATGCCGGTGACAGTAGAAAGCGCTTCAGCGTCGCCACGAATGCTCTCGTGAGTACCTAGATCTGCCGAGATAGCGGTGCTGATCAGGTTTGCCGGACCGCCTAGCATAAAACCCGACGCCAACAACAAGAATGCTGTCACTTCATACGAAGCTCCATCCATGAAGTACAATGTGATGCTAAAAATCATGCACCATTCGTGAGCAAAGCAGCAAACTGCCAAATCTTCCGCTTTCAACTATTGTTCGTACCAAGAGAAGAGCAACATGGTCACGACAACTGGAGATCGTACCTCCATCTTGTCCGATACCATTCCACCGACAGATCCACCAATAATTTCCCCGACGTCATACAACATCTACATACACATACAGCAACCACAGCTCTTACGTTAACAATTAAAAAAAGAGCATACAACCATCAACCAAAACTACTTTCACAGAAATAAAAATTATTACACGCACCGAAAAAGCACCAGCCTGGGAATTTTCCATCTCAAGTGATACCGTCAGGTAAAATGGCACCCAAAAGAACAATGCATAGTTGACCGATTTAAGACAGGCATAGGACAAGGAATACGGAAGAACCTGTTCACAAAGAGCAGTAAATCAATGTAGTTAAATTCATATATAAAAAATAATGTTGAAAACCAAAAAAAACTTACTCCAGGAATCCACCAGGCCTCAAAAAAGCCAATACCGGTAGATTTCATAAGTGCATCCTCAATGTCCGTAGTATCCTCCAGTTCATCTAAAATTTTAGCTGATTCTGGTTTTGCATTTTCAATTAATTCATGGCGATAGGGTACATTCTTTGGGTCCGGGTAGAGAAAAAAGTATACAAGTACTCCATGAAATGCTGCAAAAAATGCTGCTACGATTAATGCAAGTTTCCACGCTATTGTTGAATCAAATAGTACAAACATGAGCGATACTAATCCAGTACCGGTAATATTCCCCAAAGAGGCATTACCACTCCAAATACCAAGTACAGCTCCACGTTCTGATTGATCAAACCATTTACCCATTACGGCAACATTGGATGGCCAACCACTGGATTGAACAAGACCATTGAGACCCCATAATACAGCATAAAAACTCAATGCATGAATATTTCCCAATGCTCCAAGCCCAAACAAGAGTCCAATGAATGATGTGGCCCACATTCCGCCCGCAATCATCCATCGTAAATCGTATTTATCTCCAAGTATACCACTGAGATATAATCCAAATGCATAAAATCCCATAAAAATGGTATCCATAAGTCCATACATCGGAACCTGTTGGTCTTTTGCATACACGTCGGAATGTATCCATTGCTCGTCTCCCATTTGTCCTTTTATGGCTGAAAAACTCTTACGACTTGCATGAAACAGTACATAACTAAAGAACGTAAGAAAAAAGACACCGCGTTTATTCGCAGCGACGTCGCGACAGCTTCGCGATGACATATTGGATAAAAAGAGGAATGAACATGATTTTATCTTTTATCCGGATTATTACCTATTTTTTGTTTTGGGTACTTTGCTCAAAATTATATATTTTAATAATTAAGTTTGATTGTTTCAAAATTACGACTACCTGGAAGAAAATGCACCTGCAGGAGATTAAAATGCGTCGGTCCGTTGAAATGGACGATCATGACCAGAATCAGTCCGAGACCGACTCGATACTGTTGGATTCAACGCCATTGCCACGGGTTCAACCCGAGAGTTGGGTGCGCTTTGTGATGGACAAGATTTGGTCACTTACGTTCTTAAGTGTAGCCTGTTTTGGGCTCTATGAAGTAAATTTTGTATCGGATTTACTCCACGCGTCCCACGCCAATCGCAATTTTGTGCACTTGGGCATTTTATTCGGGACACTTTTGGGTCTTTTTGGCGGCTACATTGAAGTCTATCGCAGTATGATTTTAGGGGAACGTGTTCATTATGCCAATGCCAAGACGGCGACTCATGGAATGTTAGTGTCGATTATGGCATCTGGGATCTGGTAAGTACTAGATTCTAAATCCCATGTTATTTTCTAAATATTGTCTTCACTTATGTTTTTGTGACAGTTTGGCTATTGGTATGTGGCCAGTATGGCATTGGCTTACTTTTCCGTACCTTTTTATGTGGTCCTGGGGTGTCGTGGTGCAACTATTGGTAATATTACCACCAATTTTAGTGCGAGTGGTATTTGTAAGTGCCTATATTTGGTTTATGCACTCGTATCTTTCCATGTTTCTCATAGGGGTTCAGTAAGAAGAGATTGTTTTGTGGACAAGCTATTTCGTATGATAACTACGATAAAGACATCACATTTGAGAAAAAAGAACGAGATTTTTCTGATACAAAGTGAGACTTGAACGGTATTTTTAAGGTCTCCTGTTCCTTTTTTTCGATTTAGATGCTACGTTATGAACGAGTCATAAGCAGTCGCATGGATGTAGATGATACAAACTTGCCGATTCGTGACACGAAAGAAAAGTTTTCTGTTTCATATTCTTCACACAATCGCTGAGAGTTGCAGCATGTTGCAGTGCTAGTCATATACATTGGTGATAGACAACATTGTCGTACAGGGTGTTGATGTTGTTGAGTAGGAGAAGGAAGTATCATGTCGAGAAAACCTTTAGAGTAAGACACGGCACGCGCCACGCCATGTGCCACCTTATTCCACTTTTCTTTTGCATACTCGTGGGTGTTCTGTTTTGTCACCGCCGTTGTTTTCTTGCTCGTTGTTCAAGTGTCGATGTTGATACTCATTGTGTCAACTGTTTACAGGACGCTATTTTTCTTCTACTACAACGCTGGTCAAGCAACACTAGTGAATCCTCAGTAACGTCATCCATTCAGATTAAAGCCTTAAGCGGCTGGAAGCAGCTACAAGTTTAGCATGACACGCAATGTCAAATTGGACAAACAACTGCTGTGGCGTGTGTAACGAAGTGTTCACCTAGTTAACTTTAAGGCTCGACTGAAACACTGAAGAGGTCCGAACATAAGATCAACAACAACGTCTGCCGAAGTAATGCATGTTCAGCAGTACCTTGACCACGCTATGAAATTTATTTTAGAGCGTCAAGAAAGAAGCTTTTGTATCGGATGCCAGCAAATGTAGCACCATTGGATTGACCAATACCTAAGATACTTGATTCTGCTACTCAAAGTCTAAGACACAATACCTTGGTTTCTTTGGGTTGAACGGTTCACGTATTATAAGTGCTTACAAGATATACTTTTCTAGCTTCTGGCAATAGAAGGTTTCATTACGCGCTAAACTTCATGTTGATACATGTGCATTTACTTGAACCTTTTGGACAACGCTTAACTTGTCATCTTCTAGAATACAAGAGTTTCTTCGTAAGCATGACCCAACTTCTATTCAAAACAATACCATCGACTATGAACTACAATACAATCTAAAGCGTTCATGGCAGCATTGGGAACGGGTCGCGAGGGTCCACTTTTAGCTTCTTGGCTATCAGAATGCAGACTTTACAGCAAGCTAGAAGGACTGGTTCCGAACGGGCGTACAACTTCTGCTTGACGCCGCAATTCGCGCAAACGCACTGGTTGCATACTCCGCAATTGCGGTGTGTGGAGCGAACGAGCTTCGCCATCTTTGGTTTTTTGCCACATACGCTACAGGGCTGAACCGGCATCCTTTGCGACGCTGTCAAGCACTCGACACTTGTGAGAGACGACGGCAAATTTAATAGACTCTTGGTACTACGGAAGTTGCACAATTTGGCGTATCGAGAGCTGCTCAAATGAAGCTCCGATTCAGACGTGGACGTGAGGTCTTCTGGTTCTTGAGGCTTTCGTGTCTGCACCCTCTGAAGAGCTAGAATGGTGAGGCGTTTGGCTGTAGCACTTTTCATCGCATCGGTATTGGAAAGCAATAGTTCTGTGGCTGCATTATAAGCCATGAATGCGGGAAGAGACCCGCCCAGATCAATCATTGCTTTACTGTACACCTTCACAGCGCCTTGTACTTGCCGGTATATGCAGCACATGGTAACGCTGGCACGCACCACGCCGCTGTCTTCAGGAAGCGGAGAACATTCCGGCACGTCGACACTTCGCAGAAGGTAGTAGCCGTAGCGCTTGCCTTTCAAGTCGTGACCAAAACCCATAGACTCGAGACAGCAGACATCGCGATCGTTTACTACTCGTGTATCTCCAAAAGTCTCTGCTAGGAGGTACTTGATCGACAGTTGACGAAACGGGTCTTTCGTGGAGCCGCTATCCAGCATAGCTAACACATCACAGTCGAGAGGGTTTCTATTCATAAAAGTCATGGTCGCTCCCATCTCACTACGAGTCTTAGCGTGAATTCCATAGAGAATGTCTTCCACCGTTCCTTCAACGGAGCCGACACAAATGACCATTGGTGGTTTCTTAGACGACACCCCGATCCGACTCGGATCTAATTTAGAGCTCTGCTGAGTCTTGCGCTTGTAGACACAAAGATGGTTGTGCTTCTTGAGCATCTTCCACGCGTGCTCGTCTTGATCCGGTCGCCCTAATCGGTCGTACTCACACTCAAATGCTAGCGTTCTCGAAACAATGCTGTGCGCTAGATGACGGAATCCCTCAGCGTTACCATGCTCTAGAGTTACTTGTGAGGACGAAACGGAGGCAGTATCTCGTGGTGGTGACGGCATAGGGGCTAAAGACTCCTCCACAACGGTATACCTATGTCTTCGATACGACTCCAAGTTTTCTGGGGCTGTGCTACGTCTTGGAAAAACTTGAGCGGCTGTATCTTGCCTTGTTGAAGGCATAGGCGCCGTAGCTCGTTGTACAGACTCTGCCATGAAAGTTACGCGATGCATTTCTGCTTGGGTTGATAAGTGGGCTACGAGGCAGATAAGAACATATTGAAGCGTCTTAGTATAGAAGTACTTGTCACTTGCTGCTATGGCGGAAGGATTTGAATCATCTGGTGGGTGTGTTAGTAAAGCTACAAGCGTACTGCTCAACGCCATGTGTTCGTTGCTAGTTACGCGTGAATTACAAACGAAGCAAGCACGTAAGCCCGGTTCGACAACCACACGAATGCAGGTTTTGTTCAAGCTAGAAGTTTAGTGGAGACTGATGATCTTTCATGTATAGGCAAGTGTTGCTGACGGAGCACTTGAACCAAGTTGCACGAACCTCTGGCTAGGCTTGACCATTTTATAGCGGTACCGATACGGAAACGAGCTGTTCTTGGGACACAGCTACGTTTTTCTTACTTTCCTGCATTGCGCTGTTCGATTACCATTAACAACGATTGTCGTTGTCTCGTAGCCAGGCACGTCTGGACATGAGTAGCACGTTAGTCAGTTGTCAAGCCATCTGCTTGCGTTACAGTCAATCCAATCAAGGCCATCGAATGTCCATCATCGTCCAGGATCGATAATTTCTAACAGTACTCAAAGTGATGTCTCTGAATAGATCCCAAGCATAGGTTTCCATGTTGAAGCTTGTAAGTTACAGCTTACTTGCCACACTCGAAACACTACCCCTGCTTGTATGTCACCTGCCCTTTCCTGATCAGGAACTGAGTGAAACGACACCTCATTTAAGGCTTTTCGAATCTCAAAAGCGACCACGCGACGCTTCTCCTCACGACATGAGAACGTGCCGCCTTCTTTGCGCTAACAATAGTGCCAGCTCGCGATGCCATGTTCACCATGTCTGAGGCAGGGTGAACAGCATAAATGTGAGCGTCAGAACTTGGTAACCTATTCCGAACGGCAGCTAGGTAACAAGTCTCGCCCGCCAGCGAGCTTTGTACGAGAATGGCTGACCAGAGCTCAAGGTTGCACTTACTGTCTTCTCTGAATTGTGCAGCAATTTGTAAGGCCGCTGAGTTGGAGAATTTTACATCGCAAGGTCTGCCAATTGCGCATACGAATGCGAACTCGATACGCTCACGCCCTTGAAGGACGGATGCTGGAACATCCCTTTCTTTCTTGGGACTCAAGCTTTCTTTCTTGGGATTGCATTCTTTCAACACGCGGAACAAGATCCCAAGTTGTTTGTATTGCATATTGATGATGCAACTTTTAAGCTCACCCTTGTAGACTAACGACCCAGTGTTCGTTGTTGAACTCTCAGACCGACCATCTTTTTGCAACGAAAATCGACAAGGGATTCACTTGGCGACGCTCATTGCGCTAAGAGACACCTGGCGTGCAGTTAAAGTCAGATATGTAGTGGGATTGATGCTCAAGGTAATGCGATGCAGCAAATGGTAAGGGTCAACAACAACAACTTTAAAATCATCATCTTTGTCGTCGTGTCCGAGCTTGTTGACCATGTGTTTGATTATATCAGGGCCATCCGACATCATCGCCATAACTTCGCAATAAGTCGATTGAAAACTTCCATCAGAAGGCTCTTGTAGATCTCACTCTGAGAATAGATGTTTACAGCATTTAACACCAGCTTGCTTTGATAATGTCAACTTATGATATACCTGATCTCTTGTTTACTTTTTTGTTTGTCTTACGGAGTGACCGAAAACATATTTGCCGATGTCATTAAGCCGGTCATATAGCTCTGAACTTGGTTTATCACGATAAAACTCTCGGGTAAGCTATAACTATGCAGTTTACATCAGCTTTCCAATAGAGCGCTGTATGGTAGAGACGTCGACATTGCCTGTACTTGTACAGAAAGAAGGTGTTGTCTAGTGGATGGATAACAGCATGACCAAAGAGATGTCAACTGACGACGACAAGTATCAAAATTATTGCGCCGAGCAAAGTGTTGTAGACTTTATTTGTCTTTGCTTGCCACATGTGGATCTTGAAGACCGACCATGATGAGTTGAATCACCATCCACTATTCACCGCATCAGAAGTTGATATCTTAACAAAAGGAACCTTGAGCTACTGCAGAACAAATATACCAACTAGACTCATATAATGTCGAATACGTGTAAAAGTTATTGAGTAAGGGACTATGATGACTGGTCGAGGCTTTTAAAGCAGCAAAACCACAAAAGTTCTCTCCTCTCTCTAAGGCAATGCGCACAAATTGCATCGTCAGCAGCTTCAATGGGGCAAGTGATCCCTCAAACATGCTTCTTCGGAATATAAAAGATATACTCAACTGTAGCTTTTTGTACCGCACTTCCATACACCGATTGTTTCTTCTTTTCTTCCATCAATTTCGAGGCCTGAATCACATCCTCAACAGGAATTTTCTCTTTGCTCCATGATTCAAGCAAACTATTTTCCAAATCTTTTTCTAGACTCTGGGTGACATCAGATTTTCTAACTCTGGTCAACAACGTCTTTAAAGACGACGAATCAAGATGCTTCTTCAATTCCAAATACATCGAAACTTTGGATGTCTCGGGTCTGTAATTGGTAAAGTATTTCATCCAAAAGTGAAATCGCTAAGGGTTGAAATCGGTGTCAAGGTGGAGCGCAGTGAAGACATCTCCTGGAGTAGAACGTTCCTGCAGCCAGTATTGTCCAATTTGGGCTTCCACTTGCAACGCGATTTTGTCTTTTGGGACCCTGGTCACAGCGACCACCAAATCTTCGATACGATAAAACTTTCGCAGTCTGACAAACAAGCTTTCATCCTTTTTGCCAGGTTGTGCGTTGAAAGCGTCCACGTACTTGACCCAGTAGGGCAGCTGCTGCTGAATGAATAGGGCGTCTCCTGCAAAGTTAAGCCCATAGAGTTTGAAAACATCGTCGGGGTTTAAAGGTATTTTAGCATGTCCTCGTTTGCTTCTGTAAGGAGCATGGCCTTATCTTCTTTCTTGAAGTGTGACATAACGTCGTCGAAAGAGATTTCAGGCTTTTCACCCTCTTTCGTATACGTGTTCAGCGATTCTGCCTCGGCCGCTTTACTCAAAAATTGATTCACCACACTTTTACGTTTCTTGGCTGATCTTAGGTCGGATTCCACTATGTCTGACTGACGTTTGAGGGTATCTGGTCTTACATACGTGATAACTGACTCACCTTCGAGCGGAGCCGAGTTTAGGATCGTACTTTCAGTTTCTTCGGCCGCATTCATAAATTCTTCGCCAAAGTTAAGGCCTATCATCCTCTCCTCTACGTCTTCGCCGTGTCCGCGCTCTTGGACCCTCAATTGTCTCTGGACCTCATAGTGACCATCTGTGGTGACGGCGTCCGACTCTGCATGTGCACTAACGCCCATTGGACGGGTAGCAACAGCAAAGAATATTGGGATGCAGGGAAGACGCATGGTTTGGTGGGTAGATGTGCTTGAGGTCGAGTTCACTAATGATAAATGACGACTGTAAAGTGACTGGAAAGGAGGTAAGGCAGACAAGTCTATTTAGGTGTCGGTCAATTCAAATCCTGGTTAGCAACGCCGGTTCTTGTTCAATCCCCGGCTCTCGGGGTTGTCTTATCATCAGACGCGTTCTTTGTATATTTTTGTGTCGGTGCGCCGGCACTCTCGCTTTGCAATGGCTAATCATTGTCTCATGCTGGTATCCTAAAGTTCATGAACGCTAACGGTGATGATCACGTCTGCTTGCTGAAAAGTCACTCTTTTCGCGTTGTATCCACAAGCTGGTGCAAACGCTGCTCATAATGTGCCACGTGTGTTTCCACAGGGCGACGTATGCGGCCACATCGTCTGGTGGTATCGGCCTGGACCACCATGGATAGTCCTAGCGCGCATCTGCTTGCACTGTTTGCAAAAAAGGTTTGAACCGTCCAATCTCCCATCGTTCTCCTGTCCAGTGGCGGATGGGCTTCTGCCAGCAGGCTTGCGCGCACGGACATGTTCTGAGTAATTGGATGAGTATGTCCTCCCACTTTGAATGCGATTGAAGGCAAACGCTATTTCGTTGTTTGGTTAAAGCGGGAACAAATGATAGTATCTAGAGGCTTTTGTTGGTCCAATACCTCGCATAACCGACATTTCTTCTTCTGATGCAGGTTTAGCCTCGAGAACATCCTGTGCCAATCACGACATCCAGTGAACAAATAAGCCATGCGTGCAAGGTACATTGGTCTCGTGCAGTTCGATTCTCAACAAGAATTCGTACCCGGATAAGACGGCGTGACAGCGCTTCTCGCTTTGGAAGCTTCAACCTCTTGGATTCTGCCAGAATTTTCTGATATTGGTACTCAATGGCTCCTTTGGAGAGATTGTATTCCGGGATGCCCTCGTTGAGCTTACTCTTGTGATCGGTATCAGGCTTTTCATCGCGCCAGGATTGTGCAGCTTCGAGTGGCACACCACAGTTGCAATTACGAACACACTGGGAACCGTCAAATTGGAAACCGAAGTGTGAGTACAACAACTCCTTTCGACAGCCATCGGTCATTTCGCAGAAAGCAGCCACGTTTTCTAGCTCTCCCCGAGAGCTCCCATTTGACATTGCACATGATCCTATGTCATTGAAATCGAGCCTTTCTGCTGTCAAAGTATCTGCTCGGCTCTTGTCTGCTTCTGAATACAGCAGAACACAGATCGCAGGCTTTCCGTCTCGACCACTTCGTCCCTATACAAGAAATACAGGATTAGTCTTCTCGCAATGTCCAAGGCCCAAGAATACGTACAATTTGTTGCGAATATGCGGATAGGGACAATGGAATTGAGTGATGTATCACAAAGCGCACGTCTGAACGATCAATCCCCATCTAGTGAACACAAAAGTTTACGGGTTGGTCAGCCACTTGCCCAACAGCTCTATAAATCTTCGCAACAATAGAAACGCACACCAAACGCACTGGTGGCGCATATGATGGTCAATTGCCCCATCATCCATTGCTTACGGACAAACTCGCGGCGCTTTCGTGGGAGACCACCATGATAAACACCTGCATGGCATCCGGTGCGCACAAGAGCTAAACACGTTTCCTCCGCTTCTTTTCGTGTCATGCAGTAAACAATGGTAGTCTCCTTCCCGACCCTGTCCGCTATCCACTGTGCAGCTTTCGAGTTCTTCCGCACCACTTCCATCCGCAGATTTTCTCGATCCGTGACTTGTTGGATTAGTACCAACTGACTGTGACGAGCTTGCTCCGAAATCCAAGTTTGTCTTCCCCCATCTTTCGTAGGACCTGCTGGAAGCAACTGCAGGTGAAAGAGCTCGGCCAATTTGGCGATATCTTCATCCGAAACGGACGCTGTTGCCAGCGTGATCGGCACTTCACTGAGAAACTGCGTCTTCCATTGACTCAACTGCAAATACGACGGCCGGAACGTATTCCCCCACTCCAGTACACAATGAGCTTCATCCAGTACAATTCGCGCCAACCGATCGTCCTTTTGCGTTGCACGCACCCAAGTCTTCATCTCTCCGTTCATCTGCAAAAACTCTGGTGTCGTGTAGACGAGTCGCTGGCCAGTCAAAAGCTGACTCAAAGGTACCGATCTGTTCCTCTCGGTTCCTGAAATTTGAATCGCGTCAACTCCTTTGCGTGTTAACGCTGCAACTTGGTCCTACACAATGAAAAACATAGCAGCAACTGGGTTCAGTAAAAAGCCATCATCCACTTTCCTACCCATTGCACTACTTTGATGGTCGTACATGCATCAAGGCAATGAGTGGTGATACTACAAGTGTTGTTTTATCAACTGTAGTCAAAAGAGCGGGTGCCTGGAAGGCCAAACTCTTGCCAGCCCCTGTAGGGAGGTGTAAGAAAACAGAATAGCCTTTCGTTGCCATCGTCACTGCAGTAGATTGAGCTTCCGTGACTTGGAAAGCATCAGCAGCATCGACTTCCAACAGTTTCCGATACACAACATTCAGAGCTTGTTCAAAAGTAGAGAAAACACGAGGAAAAGCAGCATGTAACAACACAGGAGAACGATGAAGAGGTTGCAAAGACATTATCATGATCAAGTAGCTCTAAACTGATTGATTGGTTTCTCGCAACGGGGTTGAGAGATGGAAAAGAATGGCTACACCCACGACTTTGTTCAGTTCTGCTTGCTCCCCATTGCACAAGCAAATCGAGGGGACTCTTTGCCGCATACAGCATGAAGCACAATGCTCAACTTATGCTTACTTGTCTCAGATAACGGCATAAAGTGGTGGTCCGTCCACTTGGTCGATACTTTGTGGTCAGATCCGGGTAAGAAGGCACCAAACTTACCGGACAAGTCTCCCGCCTCGCACGACTTCTGATCGGACTTGTACTTGAATGGAGTGCATTCGTAGCTCTCGGATTTTTTCTTGCAGTCAGGTTGTGCAATATGCTGCGAGGCGGGGCCACAAGCCTTATCAGGGTCAAAGTGGTTGCCAGTCATCATCTTGGAGCACTCTTTAAAAGAGGCCGAAGACTTGGACGACATCCATCCGGTATGAAGGTGCCAATTGTAGCTTTTGACAGAGTGGGTTTTGCAACTAGCGTCGAGAGACGCAATCTTCTTTTTGTCGACATGCGAGAAGTCAAGTTTAGCATCAATGTTGGCAACGGTCGAGGCAGTGTATTGCACTGTGATAGAGCCGCCAACACCAGCAGCGTCCGTAGGATTGAACTTGTAGACGATCGTTGGGAACTTAGCGGTAGCACCGGTAAGAGCGAGTGTGAAAGCGAAAATTGAGGTAAATACTCGGATCATGGTGAGAATGGAGAGACAGGAAGTGGCTTGAGGGGTCAAGAAGGAATTTGAAAATGCAACTGCAGTAGTCTTGTAGATTTTCTTTACAGATAGTTCAGTCATGAAGAGGTGGCCTTTTCCTGAAGACCAACGACCAGCTGAGGATTCAGCCTCGGATGTGAAACGCCAATGCTCCAAACCATGCTGTGTTTAGCAATTGACGGGGTTTCGTATATGGTTTCGGTGTCAACATCCGCACAATCGACTCAGTACCTCGTACATGTTTAATGCAAGAGCTCGAGCAGTGAGTGTAGAGTGTAGAATATACCTCAGTCCGTGACTTTACGATACATATCCGCCGAATGTTTATATTGTAGCTAGTACCACGACCATCAGGTCGACACAACGGACGACCATGTATAGTGCACCTTTTCAGAGCTCAAGCACAGAGTTGCGTTGATACCGATCCTTGAAAGACTATGAGGAGACGATACAATACTATAAAGCTTCACTCAGCATGGATGTGTCACTTCTAGTTTGTGACATCCGAGCATTTCCATGCACTGCCGTCAAACGCTGCAAATCCGATCTGTCACTGTCATGTGGAAACGTTGTTGGTCGTCAAACGCGTTGACGGTCAGTCGTCAAGTGGAGTAACACGCTAACTTGTTGGCGTAAGCAGCCGGCGATGATGGTCAAAGAAATGTAAGTAACGCGTCTGACGAGTGCACTTCCAGTCCACGAATCCATTCGACCTTTACCGGAATCCGATACTTTACGCGACAAAGATTAAGGTTTAGACCTTCGTGACGTTGCGTCGACTTGAATATACTTCTCCCTTTGTCTTAACAAACGTTAAAGTCTGCCCCGTGACTTCTGTCTTTAAATTTTGGCGCAGATGATGTTGTCGTAGTCAAAGTTGTGAGGTCCGATACCAATGGGCAGCCTAGCTTAGTAGAAAGGGGATGATTATCTCGGCACCATAGAATGTAACGTACGACTGTGTCGGTAGGAGACACGTACCTCAATGTCGCTTATACATACTGAAGACGAACGCTACGATTTGCACAATTTCCAAGCTCCGGACGTCTACACTTCCGTTGCACTTCTTCGATCTCATCTGGTTGTCCATAGATCGGCGCGCCGAGATGGCCAATTGCACCCGCCAAAGAGCTCAAGCTGCTTGCTCATCGTATAAACTTGCCAAGTCCATGACGAAAAAAACTTCGACTTGACTGCCACCTTCGCAAAAGTGAGCTGTACGGAGGTTGATTGTCGCCTGCGCAGTTGTCGAGTGAGTCTGCTACAAGTGTCAAGAACAACCGGGTGTCGAGGTATGCTCTTCCGTGGCCTCTTGTGTCGCGGAGTTCAATGTGCGCGTCCGAAGCTCAGCGTATGACAGGCTTGTATCCGTCCGAGTGCATATTTTTCTGCTGTTGCCGACCGATTCGCCAAGCACAGCTCCAATTGAATCGTAGCGTCTCTACTAGACCTTCTTTCGGACACCTGCTAGCAGAACAAATGGCAACTGGTATCAGATCAACTCGTAAGAGTGAGTCATCCAAACGTGAGGCGGACAGCCATTTTTTGCTTTATATTGCTGCCAAAATGGCTGTTTGCCTCACAATCAAGTAGACGACGGAGGTTTTACCACGAAACTTGATTAGGAGACATTGCAGTCTGATGGCTCTTGTAATCACTCAGTGAAATGGATGCGAATTACAATCTGCCTGAGTGCTGCATCGAGATCGAGATATCGAGCCATTAGGAAGTTCCAATCGTTAGTCACGTTCCAAAGAGCTGACTGTAATGTTACAAGTATTGCAGTCAGCAACAGGGTAGGTCTATAGAGACGTAGTAGAAACGTAACGTGAATGAGTGACATGCCAGTCATGAGAATGTAAAACTTTTGTATTAAGGCAGAAATGTATGTACAAAACGACAAACCTTCATGACAGTATGACTAGCTGAAGACACGAGCCAGTCCTTCTAAGCACGCGTGTGCATGAGCGGTGGTACGGCATTTGCGGGTGTATCGTACATCTGGTAGCCGACGGGCATTGCGTTGGTCCGTTGATTACTTACATTGGACTTGGAGCGCGCGCGACTGAGATTCCGCTGTCGAGCATTACCGGGCGTTCGCGTGTTACGACTTCCGCGCTCGGCACGCATGCGAGCGATGCGATCACGTTCACGCTGAGCTTCCGACTTGGTGCAGATGACGCCGTTCTTCAAGGTACCTGCACCCAGCAGTAGCACCAGCGCAGCAACGCTAACGCCTGCGGTTGCGTACAGATAAATGTACTCTTTCGCCGCGAACGCGTCGTCCGCGTGCATGTAGGCGTAACCCACGTCCGCTACGAAAAAGATGCCAAATAGCATCGTCGTAGACGAGGCACGACCGCGCGTTTTGAACATGCCGACGCAGGCCGACCACAGTGCAGAACTCGTGCCCAGCCCCAGAAAGAAGTACATGAGCATCACGATCAGACTAGTGTACAAGCCAGAGCCATCCGGTTTGCCAAGAAAGTTTGACGTCTCGTTGAAACCCAGCACACTCGCACAGATGGCTACTGGGATGAGCGTTCCGAACAAAATAGACTTGTGATCCAGCTTGTCGATGAAAAAGAAGGCAATCACGACACCTGAAATCTGCAATGCCGTGGCATTTACATACAACTGATCTTGGTCAGTGTACTGATTAGCTCCCTTGTAGCTGATGAAGGCGTTGAGGAAGCCTGTGGTCAGGGATGATACTAGCATCAGGGAAAAGCCAATCAAGAACTTAAAAGCGCCTGCACCAGCCTCATCAGGAGTCTCCTCTTCACGCATGATCTTGAGCTCCTCTTGCACAGCAGGCTTTCGTCGCAGAATGACCAGGCAGGCTTCGCACGCATCCCAGCCTTTACGATCTAGCACCCAGTAGGGGCTTTCCGGAAACACGTTCACCACTGGCGTGACTAACGCGATGACAATGCAAGCTGCAAATGCTTGCCAGATCCATCCCAACTGGTTTACGGTTGCACAAATACCGCCCAGCAAGCTACCAGCAACAAATCCTAAACCCAGTAGCAAAATGGCCTTGCCACGCATTTCTTTCGTGGAGATCTCGTAAATGTAGATAGCCAAAGAAGGTAGCAGAATACCGCAAGAAGCGCCAAGCAAGCCGATACCAGGCATCAGCAGAGCCGAACGAAGGTCATCGTTAGCACTCACAGCTACCATACCCAGCGTGCTAAAGAGACCACCAGCAACGATGGCCAGACGACGGCCGAGGAAGAAATTCAAGAAACCAGCGATGATCGTGCCCACCACACACGAACCGTACAGCAAAAAAGTAGTCGTGCCGTCGCCGACATCACCACTGAGCACGTCATCGTACGTAACCACGTAACTTGCAAAACTGGCTGACTGCTCTAGCGTTGACAGCAGGTTGAAGAGCCAGCCAACGCCAATACCACCCAAAACGCCCATAAAGGCCGCCAGCGAGAAAGCGTACTGCGATGATGCAGACATGACCTTTGAAAACCCTTCATTGTACATCATACGCGTCTGGATAATGTTCAAAAATGGAATGCACGACATGACCACCAGCGGAATAATCATACCCATGCAGAAAATAAAGTCGAACAGAAACTGTAGCTGTTGAAACACCGCAATGCCAGCGATGGAAGAGTGTGGGAAACTCCACATGCGAAAGCATTCGTTGATGCCGTAAAGAGCAGCCACATATGCAAACCATAGTGAAATAGCGTATTGAAAGGTCCACTTCATAATGATCCAAGTGACAAGGAAGTATACAGCGTTCACGATCACTAGAGTGACGAGATAGAGTACTGCACGAGTGGCCGGACTCATAGACCGCATGCCCTTGCCAAGACTGTGGAAAACATTCATCAGGATTACCGTGGCTACAGCGGCGCCGAACGAGTACGCAACGTACATCACATCGGATGTTTCAAGTGTGGCCACGTAAAACATCAACAGGAAGTGTCGGCATTCACGAAGAACAACGGTAACACGCGAAATCATGTTCGAGCCGTGAAGCTGCTCCAAATCTCCCTTCCACCACCCTACCCAGCCACCCTTGTTCGCCGGATCATCGTCCTTATAGTCCTCCTCGGCAAACATCCACATGCACCACTGTTGAACATCCACCTTGGTCTTTTTTAAATCAAGACCGTCACTGTTGAACAAAAACGGACCAACCACCCACAGAATGGAAATGAACCACACTGAGAACGTCTGCACACCGTAAGCCTGAGCAGTTTCACAGTAATCGGACGCAAAAGTGTTATCATTTGCGGCCGCATCCGTCCGACAGATGTAAAAATTACCAAACACTCCGTACACAAGACACAAACCCATTAGCTCCCATGCTTTCCGGTAATGTGAACTTGCGTACGCTTTATACAGTAGCACCAATGTTTCACGTGAAATCTTAAAACCACGACCCGTGGCCTGGTACTTGGCACCACCGTGCACAATGTTGTTGTCGAAGTAGTGCATCGTCGTACCGACTTGGAACACGAAAAAAGCAGGACCAAGCGTGATGATCATATCGAAAAAACGCGTCATACCGCGGACAAGACCACCTTCACCGAAGTACACACACATCAGCGGTAGCATCAGAAAGAAACCGGCTTGGATGTAAAACTGAGTGTTGAGAACAGCACTCAAGTCCTTAAATACACGCTCATCGAAGTTATTAGCAATGTTTTCCGTAATCACAGCAGTCGAGTTCATGTCGTACACAATCTGCTGCTGGACACCAGCCAAGACCAGGTACACCTTGCAGTACATGTACACGAATGTCGTCACAATCGTCATCCATGTGGCAAAGTAGAAACCCGTGTGCGAGTAGTACATCGAGTTTAGACGGAAAAAATCCATAAATTGGCCCATGCGGTGGGCCTCGCGGGCGAGAGATGTTTCACCAGCACCGTTGGCTAGCTTGCCCTCGAACATCGAAATCTGCGAAAGAGCCACATCACGACCCTTACCACACTGCATAAATTCTACGTGCGTTACCACACCACCACGAAGCGTTGAGTTAAAACCAGCAAACACATCCTCGGACAAATTAATGCCCTTACTAGCCTTGGACACACCACCGCGAGGCATCGCAATGACCTTGTCAAAAATATCAGGGTGACCGTAGTGCATACGGACGTAAAGCGGTTCAGCCAGCACACGCTGAGAGAGCGTCACAAACACCAGTTCCTGCCACGACTTGAACTTCGACAGCGACGAAGCATTACCCGTGAAAATGTGCTCACGCATACCGATAATCGATACCGGTTTCTTCGAAGGATGTAGGTCAGCGGTCACTAACAGCTGCGGCATCTTCAGACACTCTTCAAAATAGTGCTGCTGGTTCATATCAATAGTCTGGAGATACTCGCCACGCGTAAACGGAAGAGCGTTGTTCTGGTTTTCAGGTTTACCTTCGCCAATAATTGGATCACCTGGCAATTCGTACCGGTACACTTCCGCAATCTCGTTTCCTTCGCTTTTGATGAGCACTGTGTCGTATTGTTTGCCTCCTTCGATCGGAATAGTATCCACATACGCCACACGCAAGTTCGGGTATGTCTTAAGCAAATAATCGATGTCATCAGCTTGGGGCTTATTCTCCGCGCGATGTTTACCGTACACTTGACAAGCACAGATGTACGAAAACTTCAAGCGTACCATGTCCTCCAGCTGAGCCTGCTTTTGCTCAGCCGACTTGCCAGGGCTCGACCCAATCTCTAACCAGTGTAGAATCTTGATTGCGTCCTCGTAAAGCATCATACCCTGAACAGTACGCGCCAGTGTCTGGCCACGGTACGAGGCCCACAAACGAAGCTCCAGCGGATAATTTGCATGCGCTTCATCTGCGGTACCCACATCAATACGCTCCAAAAAGTTCTCCCATTCCTCGGGATGAATAGTGATGAGGTACTTCAAAATCGTAATGTTCTTGCCCTTCTCTTCAACCTTTTGGAAGACCGGGTGGTTCACTAGCGGGTCATTCAGCTCTGACAGAGAAATCAGCACACTTTCACTATAGAAAGGCGTAACCACAGAAAACGAGTGCATCTCCTTCACCGACGTAAGCTGCGGAATGTCCATCAAAAGCGACTTCATGAAAAAACCAAGACGACGCTGAGCCTCAGGAACGCGTGGCATAGCATCAGCTTTTTCAAGCGACATCAGTAGGTACGCGCGGGTCGCAGCACCCATGGCTGTATCATTATGGAACAGATTCACCAGACCACGCGCCGCAAACACGTAGCCGTTTGCGCTCGAGCAAAACTTAGAGTTGCTGAACTTGGCAGCAAGCTCGGGGCGGTTCGCAAAGATTCGAATGGCGTTAAGCAGGTTCTCCATCTTTGTCACAAAGTTACGAATAACGCCCATCCTGTGCACCCTAGACGTCGTCAAGTGCGACTGAGCGTCTGGGTCTGGAAGATCCATCACAGCCTCCAAAAACTCCATTGACACAGTACGAAGCTGCACCAGACTCTTTGCGTCAAACGTGCTCATAAAGCTACCGTTTGCAGCAATCGTCTCCATTTGGCGAAGAGCATCAAGGATGTCCGCATCATCACTGCCCAGAAGAGCCTCCATCACGTACATACTAGCTGTAAAGAAGCTACGCACAGCTGACAGACAATCCTTCTGTACCATGTACACCTGGAGCTGCGAATCACCCTTGCCTTCCTTGCCAAGCTTCACCGTGTATTCAAGAGCTTCCACGAGTTTACCAGCGGAAAGGAACACTGGCTCGAATACATCGCCAGAGCTCTGAATGTCGTACTGCAGAATGGCAGCCTCTTTATCATCCACGAGGTCTCCCTCGCGGAACGAGTTTACAATCTCATTCCAAACGACCACGAAACGCAGCATCATCTGCGACTGGTACGCAGCAGCAGAGCCGTCGGCAGCAGCGTCGTTTGAGCGAGCGAGGTTGGTCACTACCTTTTGATCGAAGAGCTGAGGAGCTACACGGAAAGCCTTCGTGATCTCCTTGATGCCGTGAATTTCACCAGTTTTCATAAGCAGACCTTGAATGCCACCAAGCGAAGCTTGAAACACGGTAAAGTAAATCTGGGTATCGTAGTTGAAGATGAAAATCACTGGCAACCACAACGCAGCAATAACACCGAAGTTGTGGAACGAAATCACGTTGCTACCGTACTCAAGCTTCATCTCGTAGATGGCGAGCGACGGAAGAACCAGTGGACGGACCAGGATGAAGTATGACACAAACGCCTTCAGCGACCACAGAATCAACCAAAAGGTGATATACTTCAGCTGGTAGCTCAAAGGTGGCGCCATGTTACGTCCAACGTAGCAGCTTTCACCCTCACGAATGAACTTGGCTGCGAAGCTATTGGTAACCGTCGACGGGGAAAAGGCTTGCACAAGAATGACCAACAAACCCGGTAAAATGTAGATACCAGCCGCCTGCGCAGCCTTGTCCAGCAGCTCTGTGTTTTTCTCCGTGATCAGTGGGGTGTAGATCATCAAGCCGAAAATGCCTGCAAATGTACCATTCCAGAGCATACGCACCACTAGCGCACCACCGTAATTGAATGAACGTGATGATGTTTCGGACGACTCATTAGCAGTAAGCAAGTGCCAGCCGTGGCACGCTTCAAGAACAGTCTTGCAAAATCCCATCGATGAGAGTGAAAACACAATGCCCACGTACGTGAGCTTAACGTCTTGCTGCTGGTAGGGTTCCACCACTTCTCCCATGGATCCAAACTGGGCGAACCACTGCTGTCCGCCACTGGGTGAGACGGCCGAAATGAAGCCGATGGCCATGAGCACCATCATGAACATCATATTAAACTGGAAGATTCGATAATAGTTCAGCACGAGTGTGAAGATACTACGATGTTCGTAGTACGTCTTGGTATGTTTCTTGGTCAGTTCTTCACCAATTTGCGTAATGTCAACGTTCAAACAATACTTTTTCCAAAAGTACTCGTTAATATCATCGTAATTGCGTACTTGGGTATGTTCCAAGTTCTTGCCGAGACTGTTTTTTCTCTGCATATTACTCGCCTCTTTCCAGATCGGACGCACCACTTGTCTCAAGTACCAGCCTTCCGATACTTTCTGCTCTCCAAGGAAATCCTGGTTCAGCATACTCAGCGACTGATGGTAGAGATAACATAAACACTCAGGCATATGTCTCATGTTACCTGCCTCTCCCCAGAGCAGCAGGAAGAGTAAAATGTCCATATGAAGAGGACTTTTGAGATCTCCCTGGGCTTGTCCCGTATATGTAATGCTAGAGACACCCAGGAACTGACACCACTCGGTGTAGTTGCTCAAGAGTTTCTTGTGAAGCGTCACGACGTGGTGACCAGGAGGATCTTGAGGTCTTGCTCGTGCCTTGGAGTTTGCTAGTAATAGTAGCACGTGCTCTCTCTGGTTGTCTACAGAGCCCGATTGAAAGCCGAATTTGTTATACAAGACTTCACAGCAAAAGTCTACAGACATTTCATCTGCAAAGTCTCCTTCCAGGCCTCCACCGCGCATCTGGTTGCCTCCTTGGGTGTTAGGAGGTACTACATCCATCATACTAAGACGTTCATTGAACGTGCCGCGTCCATCGCCTTGATTCAAATGACTCCGATTAGCCGACGTGTTACGTTTACGGTCGGCGTCCAGTTGAAAGTAGTTGGAACCCGCACGACGTCGGTCCATCTTGCCGCTCGGCGTCATGGCCATTGTCCCGTGGAGGTTAAAAGCGGTTTCTGAAGTGCAACGCGAGCAAAAGTGATGGTCGACGCCGGTTTTTCCTTGGATGCAACGCGGACAAGAGTGATGGTCACGACGGTTTCCCTTTCGTTCCGCACTGGAATACAGTTTGGTTGTGAGGGTCAGTGCGGGAAGTCCTCTTTCCGACTCGTTTCTGAACTCCCTCACACTGTCCAATCACAATTGAGTACACCCGTAACCCCATTTTCAGCTCTCTTGTTTAAGTTGACAGATGACCTTAGCGTCATTCATAGTCCACCCCTTATTATTTCTGAAGCGGTGGTGTCTAACTAAATGCAGATTGAGTCCACTCTGATCTATTTGTACATTAGGTATTCGATTATTATATAGTTTAACTAAGCTTAATGACGGATAGAATAACGCCAAATGCACAACTACAGGTAATAATCGTTATTTCGTAGCAATATCCGTGACATGCTGCGTCAAATACATTACGAGAGCACGACACGGCGGCAGAAGCGGCGTGCCAGCGATCGGACGCGGGCAAATTCAGATTGCACGCCAGATGTTGCCTGGCGTGCCTAGCTGTTCTTCAAAAGGAGCGTGAGCGGATGGCTTGTCTTTGTTCTAGTTGTCTACCGTTCTGTGCGCGGCGATCGTACGACGTCTGTTTTATGCCACTATCGAGCCAATACAGAAGGTTGCTGATTAAGGTGATTCCCTGTACCGATCGTGGCCATTGTCTCGCAAATAGTAGATTAAAGAACAAATTGACTATATGTGTCAGTTCCACAGCATTTAAAAGACTACATTTTGTTGCAATCTCGCTTTATTGCAGTCTCTCTAGCGTCCAGCTATGCTAGATATATAGATATATCTCTTGACACTCAAAGATATATATTACTTCGCTTAGCTCTTTCTGGCTACTGACGACTTGCCTTGCACTTTGCACTTTTCTGACTGAGCTTTCGAGCTTTCATGTATGCGGCTGCAGCTAACCTGCGAGCCGCCACCTTGTCATCCACGTTTGTCGACTCGTCCAGTTGTCGACTCGTCCCATTCTGATCTCCGCCGTTTCCCTTCTCCATTGTTTCCGCGTTTCACCATCGGAATCGGTAAACGGACGTGAAATGTGTAAACGGACGTGAAATGTTCCAACGACTTCAACTTGGGAGGAACATATCACAACACATTGGACCTCCTTTTCCATTCGCTCGTCGCTACTTTGAACTTATTACATCGTTTAGTGCTACTACCAGTGCGTCTATAGTCTTGTGTTTCTATCACACGTAGAAATGGCCTGAAGGTGGCAGCTAACTGACATTAGATCGTTTGGAATCTACCGCGAAATTGATTTGCAACCGCTAACACTCCTCATTAGCTAAAAATAGAAGTTGTTCTTCATCTCTCTATCTTTTTTGATTCGATACCTACAGCTCGGGCTTTCCCATGACTCGAACTTTCGATCTCGATGTCATTCGGGCTAGCAGTCGAGCAGGTCTTAGTATGACTCACGTCCATGTCACTGAGTAAATCAGAGCCGCCAGCATTGGTTGTCGTGTAAAGTGGACAGACATCTTCGCACGTTGAAGCATATGACACTACACCTCCGGCTAGCTACTTGTTCTGCTAGCAGCTGTCCGAAAAAGAAGGCCTAGTGGAGACACCACGATTCAAACTGTAGCTCAAACCACGATTCAAACTGTAGCTCACACTACGATTCAAACTGTAGCTCACACCACGATTCAAACTGTAGCTCACACCACGATTCAAACTGTAGCTCACACCACGATTCAAACTGTAGCTCACACCACGATTCAAACTGTAGCTCACACCACGATTCAAACTGTAGCTCACACCACGATTCAAACTGTAGCTCACACCACGATTCAAACTGTAGCTCTTTCCGACAGACCACTCGGCGACGACAGCAAGTTGCATTCAGACGGATGCAGGTCTGTCCAAATTTGGAGCTTTAGTTGCGCACATTGAACATCACGATACAAGAGACCAGGGATAATCACACCCAATTATCACTCGTTTCTTCTTTATTTGACACTTGTAGAAGATCAACTTGGAGTAAGAGAGAGCAATCTATCTTGATCGTTGATACACACACACACACACACGATCACACAGCTTGCTTTTGCAGATGTGGTAGTCGTAAACTTAACAAATTATACGAGGAGCTAGCAGCTGGCTGATAAGTGGCCGAAGCACTCATCGTGTCTTAAGTAGCATTTGATATTTTTTCTGTCAGTAATGGTAGCGGTTTTAACTACAGAGCTACTTCCTACAAGTATACGGGCCTGTTTTGCAAAGTGTACAACCGGGTTTGTAATATGGTACAACCCGGCTGACCGTCCGAGTTGTTGGCAACTGGTTTATCCTGTATTTTGACCAATCGCGACGTCCCGCGCCAATTTATTTTTCACGCGGGAATAATGGCTACCCAGGACGCCACGCAGCTCTGGGAAGCCGTGCGTGATTTATCGGATATCGATCTGGACAACATCCAGACAACGATCACCAAATTCTATAGCAACTTTCATCTTTATTCAAAAGCTTCTTTTAGTGGTCAAAATAACGCGATCCCGCTACAATTTGGCGATAAAGTACAATATGTGCGAGTGGACGATTTTGTGCACGTTTTCCTAGATTTTCTACACCAAAAAGTGCAACTACATACCGATAACCGGTATACCAGTACAAAACCGATGTTTCCCGCTCCAAAAACCCTGAAACTAAAAAACATGGCTACATTGAAGAGCCATTTGAACATGGCTACATTTGACCCCAACGATGCAGTTGACGACGAATTCCTGCAGTTGACCTCTGTCCATGCAGCAAACACGACACCAAAACGTCGAATCACTACAACTTTATTGACATCCAAGAAGAAGACAGTCCTGACGCGTCCATTGCCTCTAGATATTGCATTTCCACCATTACAACCATCGGAAAGCATTACAAAGTCATCATTGTCAACCAAGAGGTCTTTATTAGAGAAAAGGATGGCTACTTCAAGCTCCATCGTGCCACCATTACCTTGGGGACCAACACAAATTGTCAACAAGCCAATGCTATGGTCAAAAAAAGAGTAATGGCTACATCGGATACACAGATGGCTACAGTACTAAGAAAGACAAAAAACAAAGAAGGCGATAAGGATGTTGATGTATCCAAGACAAAGGTAAATGGGTTACCACAATTGCAAGTAAAAAAGCAGTCTTTTTCGTCTCAAGGGACATGTTCCGAGCCAAAGAGGACAAAGGAGAATTTATTTTCCAAAAATTTAAATGAAGATACAAATCATGTAAAAGTGACGAGTATAGTCTTGGCGACAGATTATTCAGTGAACAAGCAAGCAGCCAAATTGTATGGATTTTTGATCAAGGGACGGATTGTGAACAAGACATGTGCCGAGCTCCAAATTCTCATTAGTTTGTTGTATCGGGCAGACTGTACAATTTGCAACAAAAATCCTTTGCAGCTGGAAAATGTTGAGAATAACGTTGTCAAGTCTTTTAATGAAATGGTATCCGAGTTTTGCTGGCGAACACACTGTCTTGACTTTGCTGAGATTGTGCTTCGTGAAATTGAACCGGTACTTGTACATTTGGGTACAGATCTCCTTACTTTAGTGAAGCAAAGCTTACAAGATGCAGAAGGACGGTGTTCAGATACACTGGAACGACTGAACCAAGTGTCTCGTCAATATGAAGAGCTACGTGTGGCTGAAAGTGCACGAATTGGATATCAGTTGCCCGTGGAAATGATGGCAAGTGCTGTACAGGACTTTGCTCTTCCGTTTAATGAAGAGACCGATTCACGCTTGCATTACCGGACACCTGTAGAATCACTTTTGTATACGAACCGTGAGAAGATCCGGGACGGCTTTCTGAGTTTATTGCGCCAATTCCAGCAGAAACAGCATAGTTTGATAGGTATCGATAATGCAGGTGTAGCAGCAGCAGCTATAGCAGCGGCACGAGAGTTGCTGGCGGAAGTGTCACCAGAGAATAGGTGGTGGTTTGCCAAGTTTTTCGTCCAGGAGCTGATCCAGGTTGGTTCAAATCCGTTCGGCGAGAGCGACAAAGATCTTGTGTTGAAGATTATGGAGGATAAGCTCGTGGTGAAGAATCCGGACCGACTGCGCAAGTTACATCGACGTTTTTCGAGTCAGAAGCCATCAACTAAACTACCACAACGGCACATGCAAGGCTGCGGTAGTGGGTCAAGCGGCTCGAGCAGTAGCAGCTACAGGACCAGTGGAAAAGGAAGCAGCAACTCTCAACGGACAAACCGTCCAGGCCCTCAAACTATTAGCAACGAGGACGACGCTACTAAGACTTTCATGGCGACTCTGGAACGCATGAAGAGCTTCTTTACGGACAACCAGCTCTTCTTCTTCCACTTCCTGCACAGTTGTGACAGCTACGAGTTCTCGGAGCTTGTGAAGCACCAGCTCGAGCGACAATTTCACGTAATTCGCAGAGCCAGTGCTGCTTCACTTGACGCTCGCAAAGACTTTACGGAAGTGGTACTGAGGCTCAAGGTCGTGGCAAAGTTCCTAGGGTATCTTCGCTTTTCACCGCAGTGGCAAGTTACATTCTCGATTCGTCAGCTTTCTGAGCATAATGCTGCATTCAAGGCTGTGGAGCGTGAGGGAATCGACACGCTAGAAGTGGCTCGTGACTCAAGCTTGGATGTCAAAACCTTGCTCGAAAACAGTATCATGCAAGCATCAATTTCCAAGTGCGTTCCATGGCTCTGCGACTTCCTATCGATGCTGTCACTCGACAGACTGTCTTCGGGTACGACATACTTTAAACAGCTTGTGGCATTACTACAGCTCTTATATCGCTCGCCGCGATTAAACTCTTTAGGCGAGACTGGGCTCTACATCGCGATGCAGCTTGAACGCGTCTTTCACGTATTACACATGGGCGATTGCTTTTTGCACAACGATGGCTATCAATCTCAAGAACTGTCCTTGTCTTTGCAAGTCCGTAAAGCACTAGCACGTGAGCATGATGTTTCGCCCGAGGAGTCGAAAGCTGGAGCAGGAGAAGACCACTTGCCATTCTTGTACAGCCAAGTGTTCGTGCAAAGCTGTGTAAGCGAACTTGATGACTTGCGTGGATTCATCCAGACTCGCGCAAGCAAGAAGCTCTCGGTTGGCTCGGGAACAATGACAACAAAACAAACTATAGCACCTATCCGCAAACTTCGACCCTTGCAAGTCGTAATCGAGGACGATCACCGCGTAGACACAATTTTTTCGTTTGCTGTCAAGTCTGATGATGCTGTGCATGCTACCTTACCAGAGATAAAACTACCAACCGCATCGTTGCTCAGTAGTTTTGTGCCATTGCAAGAAGAGAATGATAAATTGTCTGATGCACTGTTCAAGATGCACCCGAAGTTAAAATCTGTTGTGGACTTTGTGGTTCGGACTGTTACGATGGACGTGTGTGAACATGTCCTAGCGAATGTTGTTATGCCACGGGCTGACACTCTCGTGGATCGGTGTGCATCTGATAGTGGCCTGCTTAGTATCGGGAAAAGTGCATCATCATCAGTAGGTGAAGATTCTGCTTTCGCTGCACGAGCTTCATTTCAGATGCTTATAACATCAAAGACTCGCAATGAGGCGAACTCGACTGTTGTGGCAGCTCTGCAGATAGCTCTTTCTCTCGGAGAGGAACGTGTGAACACTTCAATTCCTCCGTTCATGTCTCCGTCTTCACATCCCACGCTGACCAACTCAATCATGTCCGTTGCGCTGCAGCGCACCATGTCCACTTTGAAAACACTGGTTCCGAAAAGCTCCCAGACAGAGTTTGTAAAGCGGATAGCCTTCCGGAAGAAGAGTCTCTTAAAAGAACTCGGGTTCACTTCGAAGGTGACAGCCGCTGCGCTTCCTGCGTCTGCAACACTATCAAACACAAGTAGAGGACCAACTCCAGCACAAAACACGGTGACAAACGTCGAGATACAAGAAACGCCACCTGAGGAAGGGAAGCGGTATCGAGAACTGAAGCGGTGCGTTGCTGCCATTTTGACAAGTGCCAACTACAATGGATCGAGAAAGTCAACTCTTGCTGAGTGGGAACTCCAAGCCATCACGCTTTCACAGTCTGTGTCACATTTCACCGCCTCGCTCAGAGATTGCGTGGTATCTCGTGACTTGACTCGTGATCCAGCGTCTCCACTAAGTATTGCGGCACTCGGACTCTGGGACATTGTTTGGCGTGCCATGACATCATGCGTGACGTTTCTGAGGTCATCACTGGATGTGTTTGCTGCCTGTGAGCTCTTGTCAATGCATAAAGAGCGAGTGATGACGGTCGAAAAGGTGTTTATTGCATTTGCCACCACTTTCTCAGCAATGCTCGAAACGATCGTGTGCTGTGTCGGAAACACTCCAGGAACAGACATTGCAGTATCTCGTTTACAGCCCATGCTTGTGTTTCTTGTGGACTGCATGAAGAATCTGCCACCCGCAGTCTCGGACCAGAACGAGTTACTAGGAAAATTTGCTGTCCGAGCGAATTCGCTGATCGTTGCAAAACTGCAGGAAGTGATGTCATATAGAGCTAGAACCAGTGACTAGACCTGAAGTGAATTTTGTCCCATTCTGAGCTCATATTTGGAGTTTTTACAATATTTAACGTCCAATTATCAGTAAATTGCGATATTCATATCAAAAAATAAGTTTGGTTTTGCTAAAAGTACCTACAAATTAAGTAGCAAATATCTATAGAAAGGATCAATTTGACTCATTTTTATCTCTCAATTTGATTGCCTATAATGTCCCGTACGCCCCAATCTTTCTCTGTCTTATCTAGCGTCTCTCTGCCTTACTAACCGGTAATGTCCTTAGGTGAAACACACCGGAAAGAGCGGAAGCATTTAAAAAAATCGTCATTTTCGTCCCGCCACAAAAAATCTAGTCGTAAATCGGAGGACAAACGCTCATTCAAAGCTCAAACGGACAAAACGAGCGACTCAAAACTCTCCAAACGCATAAAAAAGATCACTGAAGAGGACTATTTTCAACGTCAGACGGAATTTCGAGTGTGGCTCACACAAACGAAGTGAGTTGTTTCGATTCTCTATTTTTAGCCACAATATTACGATAACCGTTTTAAATTGTTTTAATGTTTTTTGTAGAAACAAATATGTCGATGATTTGTCGACAACGGAAGCCTTGCATTTATTCAATGCTGAGTTTGCTAAAAAATGGAACCGTGGTAAATTAGCGACAATGTTCTATACAGGACTGCCAGATGTTGTGGTAGAACAAACAAAACGGACACGTCATTGCTGGGACTTTGTCGCAAAACTTGGAGAAAAGGAAAAATTTGAATTAGCAACGGCAAAAGATTCGGTCGATGTCGCGACAAAAAAAGAAGATTTACTGAATTTTGGTGACAAAAGAGAGAAAAAAGAACCACTAGGGGAAAGAGAGCCGAGGAATTATGGTAAACGTCGATCGACGCAGGAAAACGATGATGACAAGGATGAAAAAAACAAGCGACGTCAAGTGGAACGTCGAAAAGAACGGGAATTTCGAGATACGATAATGGATGAAATAGCACCAAAAGAAACGGGACGAGAAGCGCAAATTGAAAAACGACGTCAAGTGGGAGCAAAATTGCATGGAGCTGCAAAAGATCGAGAAAATGGACGTGATGGTCTTGATTTAAGTGAAGAATTCTTAATGGGTGGCCATGGTGATGACAACAATGATTTGAAACGACAATTGACTCGTCGTGACTTGGCTCGACGCCGGAAAAAGGAGGAGCAAGAGGAAAAACTGGGAGAGTTGAAGGTATTTTGTGGTTTGCTAACGAATATTTGATAGTCTAATGCTTTTAAACTGAGATGGTGTTACTGGTTGTTGCTGCTAGGCAAAGGAATCTGCGCGCATGGAGAAGTTTCTGGAAAATATGGGTCTGACTGGATCAAATGCTCGAAAGTCTGCGACCATAGCTCCACGCCGATGAGATTGATGAATTTACATGTCACTGCTGTGTCATTTTACAATGAGGTTGCACGATTACGGATGGAAAGCTAAGGAAGGACAAGTGCTTTGTCTGGACTGCATTGTTGTAGCACTGTTAAATTCAAAACTTTTCCAAATGTTTCCTAAATTTGAAACTTAAGAATCTACATTTTTAAAAAAGTATAAATCTGGCTCGTATTTCTTTTTCACCATCTACAAAAGTTACGGTCGAAGTGTTCTAGAATTTTCTTTCACGATTCCCCGATTCTTCCTCGTTTTCCGCCGTTCAGACCACTTTTAAAATTGCTAACCACCCAACAAAAACACTAAAAAAACCCCATTTCTATCGCAATGTTGACAGTATCTCGTTCCATGCGTCTCTTATCCTCATTTTCCCAATTCCCTCGTCGTAATCGTGCATTTTTTAGTACTCCATCTCTTCAGTCTCCAACAATTTCACCACAAGGTGAAAATCTCACGAAATACAGTCAAAATTTGACCGAATTTGCCAAAAGTGGTCGCTTGGATCCTGTCATTGGACGAGAAGATGCAATTCGACGGACCATTCAAATTCTTTCTCGACGGATAAAAAATAATCCCATTTTAATTGGTGAACCAGGTGTTGGAAAAACTGCAATTGCAGAAGGATTGGCTCAACGAATTGCAATGGGAGAAGTACCTGAGAGTTTAAAACAGAAACAAGTTGTTGCATTGGATGTTGCAGCTTTAGTCGCTGGTGCAAAATTTCGTGGAGAATTTGAAGAACGATTTCAAGCTGTTTTAAAAGATGTTGATGCAAGTGAAGGCAAAATTATTTTGTTTATTGATGAACTTCATACAATTGTTGGCGCAGGTGGGAACGTCGGCTCAACTGATGCAGCAAATATGTTGAAACCAGCTTTAGCTCGTGGGACGTTGCATTGTATGGGTGCAACGACATTGGAGGAATACCGAAACTATATTGAAAAAGATGCAGCTTTAGCAAGACGGTTTCAACCGGTTGTAATCTCGGAACCAAGTGTTGAAGATGCTGTGACAATTTTACGTGGACTCAAGGAAAAGTACGAAGTACATCATGGAGTACGAATTGCAGATAGTGCTCTTGTAGCAGCTGCTACGCTTGCAAACAGGTACTTGACGGAACGAAAATTGCCTGACAAAGCTATTGATTTAATGGATGAAGCAGCGTCACGTCTTCGATTGCAACAAGAGAGCAAACCAGAACCAATTGAAAAGCTGGATCGGGAGATTATCCTGCGTCGGATTGAGATTGAAGCGCTACGAAAAGAAACAGATGCCGCATCGAAAAAACGCATGACTGCGTTGGAAGAAGAAGTGAAGAAAGCGTCGGAAGAGTTGCGCGAGTTGATGGATGAATGGAATGCTGAAAAACAAAAATTGGAAGAGATGCAGCAGGCAAAACGAAACCTTGAAGAAGCACGTCGTGATTTGATTGCTGCACAAAATGGAGGCAATTACGCGCGTGCTGGAGAGCTCATGCACTCGGTCATTCCAAAATTGGAGGCTGAAGTGGCTCATGAGGAGCAGGAGGAGGAGGAGATGAAAAAGACAGGGAAGAGCAGGACTGCACTTGGCGATGCAGTAACAGCCGACCATGTAGCTCAGGTAGTAGCTCAGACTACAGGAATTCCAGCGTCGACACTGATGGAAGGTGAGAAGCAACGACTGCTTAAGATGGAGGAGCACATTAATCAGCATGTGATCGGCCAGGAGGAAGCTGTGAAGGCCGTTAGCAATTGTGTTCGCCTTGCACGCGCTGGACTTCACGCACACAACCGACCGATTGGTGTCTTCATGTTTTTGGGTCCTACTGGTGTCGGCAAGACGGAGTTGACCAAGTCCCTGTCTGAATTTCTATTCCAGACCCCACAAGCGCTTACCCGCATCGATATGTCCGAGTATATGGAGAAGTTCAACGTGAGTCGTCTGATTGGGGCACCTGCAGGATATATCGGCTATGAAGAAGGTGGCCAGCTGACAGAAGCGGTGCGTCGTCGTCCCTACCAGGTCGTTCTCTTTGACGAGTTTGAGAAAGCACACCATGACGTCAGCAATATCCTGCTACAAGTTCTTGACGAAGGTCGTTTGACTGATTCACATGGTCGTCTTATTGACTTCCGTAACACCGTTATCATCCTTACGAGTAACTTGGGCTCTGACATTCTCGCTGGATTGCCAGAAGGTTCTCCTAGCTCTATGGCTGAAGCTGGTGTCATGAACGTTGTACGCTCGCACTATTCACCGGAGTTTCTCAATCGCATTGATGAGATCGTTCTGTTTAACCGTTTGAAGCGCGAGGATATCCGCTCTATCGTTGATTTACAGCTGCGTCAAGTGGATGCTTTGCTGGAGGAAAAAGAGTTGGCGATGAAAGTCGATCCGAAAGCCGAGGACTGGTTGGCCGAAGTTGGTTACAGCCCGCTCTACGGTGCTCGTCCGCTAAAACGTCTGATCCAGCAACACGTTCTCAATCCTATGGCTGTAAAACTCCTTGAAGGATCTGTTGCCCCGGGCCAGATTCTAAACGTCAAAGCGAATCCCAACTACGAGGAAGAAGTTGTTGCGGACGTGAAAACAGCACAACCGCTTTTAATTACAGTTGAGTAAGTCAAGTATGGATCAATGTGCCGCTATGAAGCCCGCAAAGTCACTGGTTTTGCCCGAAAAATATCGTTTCGAAAACTTCTGGAGCTGCGTGCTCGAAGTGTTAACCAAGAGCAGGATATTTATGAGTTTTGAAGTAAACAAGACATCTTTCGGACTAGTAATTGGAAATGTGTTTGCATGTTGCAAATGTCGTATTCAAAAACATATGGGAGTACGTACGGCGGCTCATTCATAAACCATGATTAAACTGAAAAAGGATCCGCTTGCCCGCCTATTCTTTCAACTACCTCGTATCCTGGTGCTTCAATGTGCGTGGCTACACGTTTTGCACTTCTTGTTCCACACTTGAGTGGTGTGTGCCTGAAACATGGGGCAATTGCAGAGCCGGCATGGCCCCATGATCAACGACCGGCGGAGCTGCACCTCCTTGTGGTCCTCGATGCCTCGCATTGCATTATCAATTGCCTCATACAGTGGCCGCGCTGCTGTTGGTTGTTCCACGTAGCCACTCAGCAACTCACTCGGCTGCAATTCACGACCATAAAACTTTCGGTTCAGGTCCGAGCGTGCAGTCAGGATAGCTCCCTGAAGTGAAATACCAGCGTATAGTCCTTTGCTGTGTGAATAACTGTAATTGGCATTCAGACCGCTCGTGCTGGCCGCAGCGGCTGCCTGTGCTGATCGGCCGTATGGACCCACGGCAATATCCAGCCCCGCACCAAGATTGACCTGCGGTTTGTGAAACACTTTCACAGCTTTTTCCGATCCAAGAATAACCATCACTTCTACTAATTCTCCGCCAATTTCGAATCCACCACTAAGTCCAAACGTTCCAATGGCAGAGGGAGCCGACCACGATCCATCCGGTAGTTTAGCAACAACAAGCCCCGTGCCAATCTTGCCAGATACAAGGAATCCAGCCTTGATAACGGTCATAACTGCAAGACCGTGGGCCTTTTGCAAGAATGCCACAGGAATTGCACGATCAGCCGACGATCCCCATTCGCTCCGGAAAAAGTTGCCAATAATATCTGCTGCATTGCAGCACTCCTTATTCAATGAGGTTGTATATGGGGCATGGAAACGGCTACGAGTTTCGTGAATGTTTTCCGTCTGCGATTGGGCATAGGTAGCAACCAATTCATCTTGAAGAGGGTGAAGTTGTGGAGCACATTGAATGCACACTCGTTGTGGAATCGACGCGTCATAACTAGTAGCACCTTCAATTTGTCTCCCAGGTGGCACCAATAGTCGAACAGGAGAACAAGAGCTACAGACAAATTGTCCACAATAACGACTACAACATCAAACACCCCAAAAAAACAAAAGTAAATGAAAAGCAAAAAAAAACAATCCACACACACACACAATTCATCATCAGTCCATCGAATAAAAAAATTCTCTACTTTTAAAAAAAAGACCTCCTCACCATTGATGACGTCGCTTTGTCACCTCAAATTGTACATTACACACGTCACAATTTGGATGATCAGCATAGCGATTAATAAGTATTCCTTTACTCTGTACCTCCTTGTTGTTACTTAGAGTCGAGTCACGACGTAACGTTTCCGTCATGCTCGTGTTTGTATCAACAAGAGCCAATTGAGTGTCTGCCTTTTCTCCAAAACTAATCCTTCCACTTTTTCGCAACGCAAATGTTCCTTGTTGTGCATTATAATCCATCAATTCTTTTCGTCGAGCATCATCCGGTACTAATCTCGCCAATGTTGGGATAAAAGTCCGAGTGTTTTCAGCTCCTAATTCCGTCACAATTGACGTATAAAACACTTGAACGTCCATTTCTTTAAGTCCAAATTTTCGACAATTGTGTTTAAATTTCTTGACTCCTTTTTCATTATTTCCACCTTTAGACGCTCGAATTGTGTTTACACAACGTTCATAATACTCTTGTGCTTCGGTTCCAGTAGCAGCAGGTGGTACTTGATCAAAAGTATCCATTAAAAGGGAACTAGCAGGAGCTTGAAAAGACCCATTTTTGAAACTTGACCCATTTTTTAAACTAGTTTCCAATGTGTGGTGAAATGTATCACCACCATATGGCGAGTTTTCACGACGAAAAGCTGAAGCCATGGGAACAATACAAGAAGTCGCACTAGAAGAAGAAGAGGAAGAAGAGACAGTACTCGTTTCCATGGAACGATGACCACATTCGGAACAAAATTTGCCCGGATTTGAAGCCCCACATTCGATGCAAAACTTGACCATGAGTACTTAGTTAAGAGTGGTTTTTTCTTTAAAGACTGATGGAGTTGGAGGTTTAGGGTGGAAAAAATGGGTACGTGCGACATGATTGGGAGATGTCGCATGCTTTTTTTAATTGACATACCAAAATCAAGAGAATGATTGGAAATGCCTAAACTATGGAATCGTGTCATGCGATTTCGAGAGGCTACCTAGTTTTGGAATAGTATGGGTCGGAAATATAATCTAAAAAAACAAGTAATATGGGTACAGTTTGCTTTATATCATAAAGATGGATTTTTTTCACTGTCAGGTGGATTTTTCTCACTGTCAGGTGGATTTTTTTCACTGTTAGGTGGATTTTTTTCACTGTTAGGTGGATTTTTTTTCTTACTGTCAATTCTTTCTCTGTTATTATAGCCTATTCCTCCTCTAGATGGTGGAAACAAAAGCGACGTAGCTTGTATATGCGAGCTAGGGTATAAGATCTTGTTGCCAAACAAAGATGTACGAGTTTCTATAAATGACACGGAACGTCTACTGTCTCGTGCTACAGATCTTGTTCTTTAGCACGAGGCAGTAGTCGGTCCGTATAATGCACGAGGCACTAGAACTTGAGACGATTGAGTCCTAGTGCCTAGTGCATCGCAAGCAATGTACGTTGATGTACATGAAGCATGGCCATTAAGGCAGATATTGACATGCTGAGCATGTATGGAACGACAAAGGAGCACCAGCAAAAGCATTACAGTCCTGCATAGCCATAACCACCACAGCGGAAGCAATTTGACAAGTTTTCAAAGTCTTGAAATATCTCAATCGGTTAAAAGCTTCCGCAAGTCTCATGGGTGAGAGTGTCAGGTCGAGATCGTCCCATTTTCCCAAGCACAACAATGTGCCATGCAAACGTTTCAATTGAAGCCAACAAGCTGCGCAAGATCAAAATCCATGAAAGACGCTTCCCTCGGCACGTGACATGATGTATAGTCCAACAACAATGACTGTCTAGCTACATTTTGACCCCATCAAACTCTTTTGAATTACCGAATACAAGTTTCGTTTCAATACGATATCTCTCATTCGAGAATCTCCCAACTGGAGGGTAAGATGGGGCTGTTTTCACTCGAATGTGCAATTGTCGGTCAGGTGGAAAGCACGTTTGCCGTAAAGATTGACGATGGTCAGATGATAGGCGAGTTAAAGGAGGTGATTAAAGCAGAGACGGCAACAATCTCATGTGACGCCAGAGACTTGCAGCTCTTTCCAGCAAAGACGATAGATGGCAAGTGGCTGTTGTCTAGCATGGAAGATGCGAAGAAGTTGAAGAAGGGTGAGACGACTGCTCTCATTGAAGCGTTAACACACAAAGATCGAGAGCTGCAGGGGGAAGACCCTATTGCTGACTTCTTTGCCGATACGGAAACTCAAAAAGCGGAAGAGATGCACGTGCTGGTGGTGGTTCCGGAGGAAATTACATCACTTGAGAGCAAGATGAAGCGAAGAAGGTTGTTGGCGGATGAAGACGCCCCGGACTATTGGATGGTGGCGATCGACGACGAGCAGGTTACAGCATTACCATTGACTTGTGAAGATTTGAGAAAGCACCTGCAACGTGCGCTTCGAGTCAAAGTTCCCATCAGTGATGAATCATTCCAATTGATACGCGAGTATAACACAACTGGAGAGTGTACTAGCACGTACGATAAACTATTTGAACCCGTACCACGTCGAGCAATCTCGGACGGAGCTTCGATTGTCGGGGGGTCGTTTGTTGATCCCCTTTTTTGCGGTTGCTCTGGGTTCGTATCCAAAGCAACATATCATTTCTTGTGGGATTCTCTCATTGCAGTACTATTCAAACGTATCTCAAACGGGACGTATCTTCGCTACAGGAATGAGTCTTCTTCAATTGACCTCGGTCGACCAGATTTGTGCTATTACTGCAAATATAGCGATGTGTGCATTTTTCGCGGGGCGGAAAAAGCAAGTGGACAGATGCAAGTGCCACTCAAAGAATTGTGCGATAAACTCGTATGGAAATATGACGCTGCGTCATATATTTTTGGCTACGCTGCTGTGGGACTGAAAGTATGCTTGGTAATTATTCGGAAAGACGAGATGACGGAACGTGGCGCAAAAGTGGAAACTATCGAAACGTACGATTTGAGTGATCTCCATAGCCGTCTACAGTTTTTTCTAGCCATGCTTAACCTTTTGACGCTTTTCCGACCAGTTTTAAAGCTTATCGAACCGCTGGGTATACCCGAGTACGGCAATATCATTGCAGGCAATGGTGTGAAGATATCACTCGCAGAGGATTGTGTTGTGAAGACGTATGGCTTTGATCCCATTGATACCTTTGGTCGCTTTGGTCCCTTTGACCCCTATGGTATAACAAGTGGCAGCGTAATTTGGAACCTAAGGAAGGTGCATCATCTAATGAAAAAAGGCTCGGTCCCGAACGTTGTGGAGCTAAGGAAAACGAGCATGAAAAAAAAACATGTGATACTTTCTCCTCTTGGTCGACCAGTCGCACCTAAAAACGTCCATCAGCTTCTGACGGCCTTGCGCGATATACTCAAAGCGCTAGTGGCAATGCACGCAATCAAAATTATGCATCGAGACTTGAGATGGCCAAATGTGCTGAAGTACCAAGACAAAGGTGACAAGTGGTTTTTGATTGACTTTGACGATGCAGCACTGTCGCCGGCTTCAAAAGTGAATCATTTGAGAGCAGAAACACATGCTCCTGAGGTATTGTTATCTTCTCATACGGTTAAGGTCGACATTTGGAGCGTGGGCTATCTCTTACGGACGTCAAATATCCGAAATCTTCCGGCGAAGCTGATCACAATGAAAGAAAAGTGTTTGCAGGAGAATCCGATGCAGAGACCCACGGCAGTATCACTCTTGAAGTCGATCGAAGAGCTTTTAGGAGTAGACAGCGCTCACACGAATGCCCCCTGAGGCACAGCTAACACTACATGTGCTTCCGACGCAATAGTTAAGGAGTGTAAGAGATGGTGTATCCATAGGCATCAAGCATGAATCTTTACTTACTTGTTCTCATCAAAACTTATCAGTCTGTAACGGGCTGAATATGCCCATATGTAACACGCGCTAAGTATGCAATACGTAACGGGCAGGTCGAAATAGTACATATGTACTTAAGACCTGTCACTTGGGTGAGACATACCTATGTGATATAAACTAAGTGTAATCACATTGATGGGAATGACCCCCTAGGCCATCATCAAATGACGTCATTCAGTTGTGTCTTTAGGCGAGCTTAAGTATATGTAAGCTCGCACGTAGGGATACGCATCTAAAGATGACATCCAATCATTACATATTAATCAATCATTTTCTAAATTCATATTTAGTATATCCTATCTAATATAAATCAATCTTAAAACTGAACGTAAGACACACTGCGCTCCGAAAGACTAGCAACAGCATTCGCGACGCAGTTGTATGTAAATTCTTAGTTTGTTGTACGATTCGCTTCTTCAATCGACAACCTCCTTCGCAGCACACGAGGCAAAGACAGTAAAGCTGCCTTGTAGACGGGCACTTCGTAAAGAAGCTGCCACGTACTACGCGGGCACACCTCCAAGCAGCGCGAGGAAGTGGTTATACCGTCTTACCTCCGCGTGCGGTGGTGGTGATGTTGGTCGGCGCTAAGAAGCTCTGTACCAACCGTTGCCGGTCGCTTTGGAGCGAACGGCGCAACGAACTGCTAAGACAAGAGCTAAACTTACAACACGCAGAAGCTTATACAGCTTCTCGTGCGCAGTGTGCGATATTTAGTAGATTCAAGACTGACTTACATTTAACAGATTTTAACTAAATGTAAGATTAACTACTGATTGGTTAATTATGCAAAGATTGGATACGCGTCTCGTTAGAAACGTATCCTTATGTGCGAGCTTAAAATATATATAATTTCGCTGATGACGTCTGTTTGAAGCGTCATTATGACGCCCAGTACCAACTGGCGTCATCCTCGTTGAATGTGAATCCATCAATGGGTATCACATTCACGAGGGTGAGTGCTACACCCAAGTGACAGGTCCAAGGTACCCATTTAGGCCTGCCTATTAAGTATCGAGTACTTGACGAACCGTGTAAGGTTTAGCCCGTTACACCCCCCCCCCCTCTTTAAGACGATTTTTACATTTTGTAAAACATCGAAAAGAGACGATGCCGCCAAAACATCTTAAGGCTGATGGGTCGCCTGCAAAGGCGCCCATGCAGACCAACACCAAGCGCACGCGCCACGATAACTCGCAGCCGTCACTAAGTGTCTTTGTGACAACGCCGACATCTAATGTCATCGTGCCAGCAGAAAACACTGGTCCATCCCACTATGGTGCGGATGAAGACTTGTCTCTCACTGTTGAATACAATGAGAGTACACCATTGCCATCACCTCAAAGTGGTGCTTAGCACAGTGCTCTGGTGGGGCATATATCCCCGTCACTAGAAACACCCAACCTTCAGGAAGCTTCCATGCTTCCTGAAAGCGAGGGTCATGCCTCGTCGTCTGCGCCAACGAGCGCAGCGACCACAACTGAGCGTGCTGCTTCGAAAGAAATAGCCGCGACTCAACAGCAGGTCGGCGATTTTAAATCGTCCGCCTCTGTTAATCCTACATCTGATGCCTTGACAATCCATAATGGAGAGTCAGACTCAGGTGAGGGTGAGCAAAAAGCCCCTTCGACTTGACAGGCGGCCTCACTAGCACGCCGTAGCGAGGGAGGCTACGTGAGTGGTGGATTGTCACGAATGCCACCACCATCCGAGTGGTCAAGCTCAAGTGGTAATAGTGCGACGCTTTCAAGACGTGCCACTATTGACTCTAATAGGCTTTTTAGCGTCTTTTTATTATGAAAACGGCAGGACAAAGCACTAGGTCGTACTTTTCTTATTCCCGTCGCGGTTCATATTAACGAAACAACTGACGAATACGAGGCAGAGTTCCTGCGCCGTGTTAAACCGCGTGCAGATGCAGTGAAACAGCGGTCGCAGCGAATCAGCTTCGCTATGACGCGTGCGAGGGAGATATCGGGTGGTGACATACCCCCATCTCCTTCTCGTCACGCCGCCCCTACTAGTCCATCAGGACTTAGTAGAGCGAGTGCAGCTGGTGATTCTACACATGAGCAGCCACCAGACCAGGCACGTCGATCCGCAACGCGTCGATTGGTTCTGAAGAGTCGAAACTCTTCGGGTACCCTTTCCACTGGACAAGGATCTGAAGCTTTTGCTTCACATAGCGGTGGGCCAACAACATAAACAAGGAAACGTGTGTTCCCACCCGCATCCATTAGCTCAGTTGAAGCCCGATAGGAGCGGCGATTATGCCCAACTATTCGAGGCTGCCTATCCTGTTGTCGTTAAGTCGCAGGCGGAGATCGGTTGACGTGTGTATACTTTGACCAGTAGAAAAGGCCACTTAACAGCTGTTTCATTGTTTATTGTCTTGTTTATCTGTCCATTATCCATGACGTCCGCTGTGTCATTAGAACGGTCGAAGTCGCCACTGCACTTTTCGTAAGGTCGCGTGCCGTGTTCCACGCCTTTTTCAGCGAGAAACTGGCGCTACTTTTGCTATCGATGATACTGTTGGACACGGTAGATAAAGAATACGTGATTAATAATCTATGAAAGGCGTTATGGGTGTCCTGCTATAGACGGGCACTTTTACAAAGTTTTTTCGTACTACTTTGCGCACACCGTCAGCACAAGCGAGGAAGCAGTTAAACCGTCTTACTTTTTCGTGCGATGGTGGATGTGTGGTTGGTCGACTGCTTAAGCAGTCGTACCACCAGTTGCCTCTCGCTTAAGCGAGAGTGCAACGAACTTCTTAACACTTAGAACACCGACGTCACGCAGAAGTCTTTCAACTTCTCGTGCGTGGTTCGTATGTTTAAGTAAATTCAAGACTGAGCTACATTTAATGAATTATAATTAAAATATAAACTTAACTACTGATTGGCTATATACATATAGATCGGATACGCGACTCTTTAGAAGCGTATCCTGTCGCATGAACTTAAATCTAGATTTAAGATCGCAACTGACGTCCTTCTGAGACGTCGCGATGCCTAGCTTCAATTAGCGTCATCCCTTCCCATGTGAATCCATAAAATGGATATCACATTCACGAGGGTGGATCACGTTTGTGTATCGCACCCAAGTGACAGGTCAAAAGTAATCATGGATACTTTTAGACCTTACATTAAGTATATTACTTAATGTTTACGTGTAACTAGATGCCCTGTTACACCATCCCTCGTTTTAGAACGATGTTTACATTCTGTAAACCATCGCCTAGGAGACAGAGAGACTATACACGCGCCGCTTTAGTCTACTCAATTCTCATGTCACCGAAACGTGGTAAGGCTGATGGGTCGCCTGCAAAGGCACCCATGCAGTCCAGCACTAAGCGCACTCGCCGCGATATATCGCAGCCGTCGCAAAATGCTTCAGGCACTGAGGTGAATCTTCCATCTCCCTATAATGGGGATGAAGATCCATCTCTCATTGGAGACTACAATGAGAGTACGCCGTTGCCATCACCCCAAAGTGGAGATGAGCAAATCGCATTGATGGGACATATGTTCCCATCATTTGAGGCACCCGTCCTTGAGGGAGCGTCTATGCTTCCTGCAAGTAAAGGTAAAGCCTCGTCGCATGCGCCTACCAGCGCAGCGACTAAGACTGAGCACGCTACTTCGAAAGGAGTAGTCGCGACTCATAAGATGTGACTCCTTAAGCTGATGTCTTGACAATCCATAATGGATAGTCAGACTCAGGTGAGTGTGAGCTTAAAGCTCCACCAAGTACACCTTCGGCCTCACTAGACCGCAGTCGCGAGGTCGGCTACGTGAGTGGTGGCTTGCCACCAATGCGACCTTCATCCGAGTGGATGAACTCGAAGGGGTCTAGCGCAGCGCTTTTGCAGCGTGCCACTATAGACGCTCATAAATTTTATAGCGTCTTTCCTTTGTGGAAAAAGCAGGGCAAAGCATTTGGTCGTGCTTTCCCAATTCCAGTCGTGCTGCGTTCTAACGAAACAGCCGACGAATATGAAGCTCGGCGCCGTGTTACCTTGCATGTAGATGCAACGAAACAACGGTCTCAGCGAATCAGCTTCTCCATGAAGCGTGCGGATGGAATCTTGGATGGTAAGCGACCCCCAATTGATTCTCGCCACGCTTCTTCTGCTAGTCCATCCGGACCTAGCAGAAAGACGCCAGCTGGTGCTGCTTCACATAAGCAGCCACCAGCCCAGGCACGTCGACGCGCAAAGCGTCAACAGTATCCCATGAGTCAAAGCTCGCTGGGTATTCCTTCCACTGGACAAGGATCTGGAGCTTTCGCTTCACAAACCGGTGGGCCAACAGCCTTCCAACAAGGAAGCGCGTATTCCCTTCCGTGTCCACCAACACAGGTGGCGCCCGATAGGAGCGGCGATTACGCCCACCTACTCGCGGCTGCCTACACTGCTTCTGTTCAGTCGCAGGCTGAGACCGCTGCGCTAAATAGGCAGGTGAAAGATCTCGAGAGTCAAGTCTCACGACTGACTTCGGATCTGCGTGATGTGAGAGCGAGGGAACGTCAGGGGTATGACCGCCTGAAGACTCGTTTGTACATCTTAGAGCAAATGGTGATGAGAGACCTGCGTCAAGCGCGGAGTCCTCCTCGATCGCCGAGTCCTCTATCGCCTCGTTCATATACAGGGAGCCTCTCGGCTTCCTCGTCGCCTGATCGGCCGCGACGCTCGACCCACAGTCGACGTCACCATCGATCTTGTTAGACCGATGTGGATATGTGATCTCTTCTGGATCAGCATACCGTTTCAGGCGACCCACGTAAAATACGGGGTGCGTCTTCATATACGGTGGGAGAGTGAGCCTATAATTTAGGTCTCCAACTTCTTTAACCACTGTAAAGGGCCC